TGATCAAAAGCCTACAGGTTATTAGATCCATCAAAGAGGAAAATCATAGTTAGCAGGGATGTAGTGTTCGATGAAAATAAAAGCTGGAAATAAAGTAACATTGAGCATGCGGAAAATAGTGAACCAGGAATGTTCAGTCTAAGCTTTGGTGAGTTTGGAAATAATGGGATAAGAGAAGATAATATCACTGAAGAAACAGAAAACACTAAGAGAGAGAATGATGAGACAGAACCTATAGAACCTATAGAAGAGATCACAGAAACTTCTAATGCAGAAATCTCTGAAGAAAATCAAATTCAACCACAAGTCACATTAAGAAGATCTGGGAGAGAAGTTATACGGCCAAGTTACTTAAAAAACTACGTTCTTTTGGCAGAAATTGAATGTGAATGACTCTTACTAGTAATAAATGATGAACCATGGGACTACAATGAAGCCAAAGACTCAAAGAAATGGAAGGATGCATGTATAGAAGAAATCTCCTCTATAGAAAAAAAATAAAACATGGGATTTAGTTGAACTTCCGATTGGTGCAAAAGCAGTAGGACTAAAATGGGTTTTTAAGATCAAGAGAAACTCGGATGGAAGTATTAATAAGCACAAGGCACGTCTTGTTGCAAAAGGGTATGTTCAAAGGCATGGGGTTGATTATGATGAAGTATTTGCTCCAGTAGCTCGCATAGAAACTATCTGTTTCATCATTGCATTAGCAGCCTCAAATGGATGGGAAGTACATCATCTTGATGTAAAAAACAGTCTTTCTACGTGGAGAGTTAAAAGAAGATGTATATGTTCTGCAACCAGAAGGGTTTGTGAAGGAAGGAAGTGAAGAAAAGGTGTATAGGTTGAACAAGGCACTTTATGGGCTCCAGCAAGCTCCTAGAGCTTGGAATAATAAGCTGAACAAGATTCTTTTGGATCTAAAATTCATAAAGTGTTCTAAAGAACCATCTTTGTATCGGAAAACAGAGAATGATGAATCTCTTGTGGTGGCTGTCTATGTAGACAATTTACTTGTTACAGGATCAAGCTTACAATTGATACTTGAGTTCAAGAAAGGAATGTCAGCACAATTTGAAATGAGTGATCTTGGCAAGTTAACATACTATCTAGGAATTGAAGTAATTCAGTATGAGGGAGGAATAATGTTGAAACAAGAAAGGTATGCTACTAAAATTCTGGAAGAAACAGGAATGTTAGACAGTAATGCTGTTCATATTCCCATGGACGCAAACGTGAAGTTGTGTAAAGCAAAAGGAGAAGATGGAATTGATGAAAAAGAGTACAGGAGAAATATAGGATGTCTACGCTATTTGCTACACACACGGCCAGATCTTTCTTATAGTCTTGGAGTCTTAAGCAGATACATGCATGAGCCCAAGGAATCTCATGGAGTAGCTCTAAAACAGATTCTGAGATACTTAAAAGGTACTCGATCTTATGGTCTTTGCTTCACTCGCAATGATGAGAAGAGATTGATTGGTTTCAGTGATAGTAGTCACAATATTGATGAAGATGATGGTAAGAGCACTACGGGTCATATCTTTTACTTAAATGACTGTCCCATTACTTGGTTCATGGCTGCCACAGAAGCAGCTAAACAAGCAGTGTGGCTTCAGGAGCTTTTTGGGGAAGTCATTGGAGGACTAAGTAAAAGGGTGCTGATTCTACTTGACAATAAATCTGCTATAGCCCTGACCAAGAACCATGTGTTCCATGGTCGGAGCAAACACATTCATAAAAGATACCACTTCATCCGTGAATGCGTAGAGAATGAGCTCGTGGAAGTAGATCATGTGCCCGGAGAAATACAAAAGGCAGATATTCTAACCAAAGCATTAGCAAGAATCAGATTTAAGGAGATGCGTGGGATTGTTGGTGTTCAAGACATTGCAAAGATTCAACTTCAAGCTTAAGAGGGAGTATGTTGGGCTAAGCTTGAAGTTTAAAGAGTAACGTGAGGCCCAAGAAAGCTTGAAGTCGGTGTGATCAAGTGACTTAGAGAAGTCGGTGTGTTTTAGGATTTGGAGTTATCAAAGCCCTAATTGTAAGTCGGTTTAGGAGTTATCTAAACCCTATAAATAGATGTGTTGTGTATCGGTTTTATTTGTGTGAAACTTGAGAGATTGAGAGATTGTATAGCTTAGGTTTTTGAGTTAGTTTTCCTAAGTGAATAAAGAGTTGTTTTCGAGTTCATCTTCTTGTTCATAAGTGTTTAGGTCAATACTTTGCACTAGCTTAAGGGCAGTATATATAGTAGAGATAGACCAATATAATGCCATGACACAGTACGGACACAAGAATCACAAATTTCTTAGAAATTAATAATTCGAATCCAATGAGTACGTACCACGGAATTATGTGGTACTAAATTTATACTATACATAGTGTACGATTCAGGATGAAGTAAAATTAACATTGGGCCCGACAAAAAAGTGTCTATTTCACCATTGAAAGTTAGAAAAAGTGACAAACAACTATTATCTGGACTCATGACAAATGATACATCGAAAGTATATATAAATTTTATGAAAATAGACAAACTACTTACATTTTATAACTATTGAGTTTTTTAATTACTTTCTATGTCCAGAAGAAGCCATGAGAACTGCAACAGCTGAAATAAACATAAACAACATACTGAAGAGAAGTAGATAAGTTTTACGCGACGATCTTCTGTATTCTCCAAACAAAACAACTCCCCAAAATGTACTCACAAGAGGAAGCGCCTAAGATACAAAATATTCAAAACATTGATTCAAAACCATAAAGATTGATTCTTGAATTGTGCCAAAATATTTTGAAAAAAAAGGTGAATTGCTAAACCTGAACAGAATCAGCAGCCGCGTATCCTGCTGCTTGACCGCCCATAAACTGAAGACCGTTTCCAAAACCGCAAAGAAAACCCGCCAAAAAGGCCCAGTAACGACCATTCCAGTCATTTAAGTAAGCTTTAAAAGAAGATTTTGGAAGACCAAGAACAGGGTGGTAGAGGAATCCAATGTTGAGGATCAATGCAATGATAAAACAAGAAACAGAGAAGTAGAAGAATGCTGTGTAAAGAACTAGCTTTGGAACTCCTTGTTTCAATCTGTGCCACTGATCGTTTGTGGCTAAGTTAAATGCTGGAGAGAAGAGGGAGAAACAAAGACCTGCGAAGAAAGTAATCGCTAGTCCGATTATCTTTCGTTTCCCAAACACCTACGATTTTAAAGACAACAAATTTTAATAACTTTTCAAAGTATATGGACTTGGAGAAAGCATTACCTTTATGGCTCTTTTGTTCTCAAGCTCAATAAGAAACCTTGCTGTCCCTTCTTTGGGTTTCGTCGATGTTTCATCAGTAACATTAGTCTCCAGGTCTTTTGATGAGTTTGTTCCTATTTCAGTAGATGGACCTGAAGCTCTGGAGAGACCAGATTGGGATATTAGTAAGAAAACAGATTGTTTAAGACAAAAAAAAGTGGGAGACTGAATCTTGATTACTCTTGCTTAGCCATTTCAAAGTCTCGTAGTTTGGCCTTGTTATCGTCTGCATTGGATCTATGAACTGCTGAACCAAGACAAACTGCGATCAAGAAACAGGCCACACCGGGGAAAAGGATCTCGGCTTTATTGATTTTATCATCCAAGAAATAATTCAAGGTTGAGCCTGAAAGTTAGAAAACAAGAATGATAAACTAACTACTTTTAATTCATAAGTATGACTATATAACACTCCATGATCTTCTAACCTATGACTACAGTGATGCTTGATGTAACGACTTCTGTTACTGATAGGCCTACTAAAGCCCAAGCATATTGAGTAGCTAGATTCCCGAGGCTAAGCACGATCCCGCCCGCCATTGCAAACATAACAGATGGCCAATTATCCTGCAAAAGAAGTGGTATTTTTCAACAACAGATTATAACTTTCTTTTTGCATATATCTCCAGAAGTGATTTATGTATATACTTGTGCAAGCTGAGTGATAAAGTTCGGGCTATCGGGTTTTGTAGACCCGATTTGACCAAAAGTGAAAGCTATAATAATAGCAGCCAACAAATTAGTGATGGAGTAATCAAGATAAGTGTGTTGAGGAAGACGACCACGTCTCTCCAAAAGTGTTAGAATTGCTGGCCAAGTCCCTAGAGATAGTAAAGCTAAAAGCATACAAGCTATGGCACCTCCTTTGCTCTCGACTAGATACATATTTTCGGACGAAAAAACCGATCAAAATGGATCAGCCCTGCAAGCAAAAATGTTGGTTTTAGGCAAAAGATCAAGCATATTGGTTTAGGTTAAGTAAGATGCTTGGAGAATTTCAGAATCATCTATTCCTTAAAAGCAGATTAAGAATCCACATCAAGCATGACTCATTGTATCAATGATTCAAGTAAAATAAACTAGACAAGATTCTTGATTGTTTCTCATGTTGATGGAATCTTAATCCTCTGTTTTCAGTGTTTAATTATAAGTGTAAATCCAATTGAAAATTTTAGAATTCTTAGTGACATAAAAATTGGATGTTTTGCCTCCAAAGATACATATGTTCATAAACTATTCATGACAAGAGAGGTTGAGATTTAAAAGATAATTAGAACCAAATCATCCAAAATAGTTTGTATATGAAAAAGACACTACCTTTGCTAGGTTCTGCAAGAACAGAGGATATTATCACTTCTGCAAATAACTTCAAGAGAGTTTCCACCACATGTGTTTTAGATCTTTCTTCCAGAGAATGTCAAGATACTAACATTGACTCACTTCTATAGAAATTTAATTTCAATTTTAGAATAAAATCCAATAAAGATATAAATTTTCTGATTTGCCTTTGAATCTTCTTCATAGTGAGGTTCCATACTTTGGATACTTTTTGACTTTTCTTATCTTTTCGTTTAAACTAGAGAAATTAATTCTGTAAAACGACAAGTACCTAACCACTCTTTTTTTTCATTGAAAATTCATTTTAAGTAAAGACGAAAGGAAAAAAATAATGTTTCTCCAATTAGAATGAAAAAATTATACTTTTGAAACAGAACATATCTTCTTCACTCACTTAGAATCTCACATTAGAAAATATAAAAATTAAAAACTTCAAACATTTGATTATTGTAATGCATGCGAAATACACATGCTCAAACATGTAGTAGAACTAAGAAAAGCTCATCATTTCCGGTGACCGGAAGATGCCATAAGAATCGCCACGGCCGCCACAAACATGGCCAACATGCTAACTAAAAGTGCATAAGTTCTCTTTGACGATCTACGATACTCTCCAAGCAAAACTATGCCCCAAAATGTGCTCACAAGAGGAAGTGCCTAAACCAAAAACAGAGCTCATGTACTTGCAAATAAAAATGTTAACTTTGAGATTACTCAATCTGAAGAAGCAAAAACTAACCTGGACAGAGTCCGCAGCCGCGTATCCAGCGGCTTGACCTCCCATGAACTGTAAACCGTTACCAAACCCACACAAGAATCCAGCGAAAACCGCCCAACCTCTACCTTTAGAGTCATATATATACTTCTTAAGCGATGATCTCGCTAAGGCTACCATTGGCCGGTAAAGAAAGATGATGTTTAGAATCAGAGCAATGAGAAAACCCGCAATGGAGAAGTAGAAAAAAGCGGTATAGACAACGAGTTTAGGTACGCCTTTTGGCAATGTACTCCATTGATCATTTGTTGCCAAGTTGAATGCAGGAGAGAATAGAGAAAGGCAGGTTCCCGCAAAGAGCGTTATGAATAGTCCGATCATTATGCTCTTTCCAAAGACCTGCGCATTGACGAGGTTTTAAACACCGAATAATTGTATACTCTCCTTTGCTATGTAATCTTGCTAAGTAAAAAATTCGAACTTTGAGTTCGGGTTTCGGGTGTTTTTCTCTTGGTCATTGTAATTGAACCTTGATTGCCCTTTTGTTCTCTAGCTCTACAAAGAATCCTGCTGTCCCTGCTTTAGCCTTTCCCGCTTGTTTCTCTTGAGATTCGACATCATTTTTCTCTGTTCATGGTATGAACAAACAAGAAAACATCACAACTTGGTTCAAACTTCCACCAACAGTTCCTACTCTTGACTGAAAATTTCGTTCTTTTGCTTTGCACGTATCTTCACTCAAAGAAATTCTTTAATCTCATAAAAGTATATCTAGCTTTTACCTTTTTCAGGGTTGTCTTCAACATTTTTAGTGGAAGAATAGAAATCTCTGTAAAAGATCAGAGTATTGTTAAAACAGAACAAGTTTTGAAAATATGCAACAAAGGCAAAAGAAAGAGCAACATCTTACTTTGTCTCAGCTTTATACTCGCTAGGTAAAGACTTGAGTTTCGCTTTGACATCAGCTGCATTAGAAGCGTGAACCGCAGCACCGAGGAAAACAGCGATCAAGAAGCAACCTACGCCGGGGAAGAGGATCTCAGCTTTGTTTATCTTGTCGTCCAAGAAATAATTCAACGTCGTACCTATAAAACTCACCGTGACATGCAAGAAACCAAAGAAACATAAGTGATTGTTCATCACAAAACGATAAAACGTTTAGATTAATACTGAAAATGTATTATTTACAGTTTTTGCATCTTTTAAACGCAAACGCGGAAATTGCATTTGAAACAAAGACCTTAAAAGATAAGTGAAAGAGGAAGCATACCAATGACGACGGTAATGCTTGCGGTTATAACTTCAGTAACCGATAAACCGACAAACGCAAAAGCGTATTGAGTCGCTAAATTCCCTATGCTAAGAAGCACACCGCCTGCGACTGCAAGCAATACCGACGGCCAATTATCCTGTAAATTCCTCATATTACCAATCAAATGAAACTTTACAGTATATATCAAGAATCTCAAGAAGCAAAAGGAACCAAACCTGAGGGAGCTGAGTGGTAAAGTCAGGTTTTCGAAACGTGCTTTTTCCAATCTCACCGAGTGAAAACGCGATCACGATTGCAGCCAAGAGATTCGCGGTTGCGAAATCAAGAAGAGTGTGTTGAGGAAGACGACCTCTTCTCTCCAATAGAGTCAGAATCGCTGGCCAACTTCCCAAACAACACAATGAAAGTATCATACATCCTATAGCTCCTGCTTTGCTCTCAACCACATACATCTTCTTCTTCTTCTTCTTCTTTAACACAGAAACACTTTCTTCTCTTGTAATATTTATGGACTTTGCCTCTTACCCGGTTAACCCCACCGCTTTGGAAGCCTTTCCGGTTTATCTAAACCGGATCTTCTTGGACAATGTTTGGCCAACCCTGCACTTCCTCTCTCTGTTTCTGCATGTGTGTTGTTGATGGTTGCGTGGAGAAGGTTACATGTGTATATCAAAAGATAATGTCAATAAAGGATTTCAAGACACATTGGCATTTTCAGCCTAATAAGACCAAAATGAGCTCATATATGTTTGGACTATGAATCTCTTGTCATTTTTGATACTTTGTGGAGCTTTGAATCTGACAAAATGGGTATAAGTATTATGGGAATTAGCTGTCTTGATGAGATTCCTTTTTAGACAAAAACATGGTTACTAGGAGATTGTGTTGCAACTTGCAACCAAATGAAAGCCACAAGAGAAGCTTCCAAATTTCACTGTCAAGTGTTGTTAGGTTATGCAATAAAAATAAAAAGTTTGATTTTTGGGCGACTGAAACATCTAGGTATCAGTGGCCATTTCCAAGCTTCCATCTTTGTCTTTTGTCGAATGATTGAGGAAGTTCCCAAGCAGCCTTTGATCCAACACCATGTTAGGTACCTACAGAGTTAAGAGATATACGTTCTTCAGAACAGCAGAAACAGAGATAAGACATGATTATGTGAATATAGAAATGAGAGTAAAACCTTGTCCCCGAAGAATATTTTGGTGTTACGAGCAATGGCATCGATGAATTTGAGTTCGAGAAATTCAGGGGTGAGCTTCAACTTGTTTGCTTCAGCTTCTTTCAGTACACTAAGGACAATGATCAGAGCAAAAATGTAAACATTAGACCAATTTATTCTTTATCGGTTCTTTGTTTGCTTGTTTCAGAAGGAAAATGAATGGGGCAAAAAGACAGGCTATTACCGGTAATAATCTGCATCCGCGAGACTCTTTTGACGGTCAAGGTACATCTGATTCTCGATATCTGCTTCTCTCCGTGAACTGTCTTTCTCAGTCAACTTCTGTTGCATCAGAATCTTGCTTACATTGGCATTCTTCTCGGCTTCACTAATGGCCATTATTTTCTTTGTCTCTGCCTCTTTCTCAGCAACTCTTTGTTTCTCAATAGCAATCAAGACCTTCAAAATCATTCATTCCAATTGTGTAAAGAAATCTTAAAGCGTCCAGACCCCATTATAACGGAACTGATGATATGAGGAAACCAATGCAAATTATATAGCTAAGGTTCAAATGAGTTTACCTTAGTGCGTTCCTCTTCCATTTGCTCAAAGTTACGCCTTACACTCTCTGGAATTTTCGGCTTTGTGACACGCACACTAAGAATCTCAATTCCTGGAGCATAACGTGTACAATCAGCTTGAAGAGCATCTTTCATTCGTTCATCAATCTGAAACACAAGTGATCAAATGAATAAGCGAAGATCATAGTATATTTTCCAGATTTCAGACGCAATGAGAAAACTATCTAAAGAAAGCTGTTATTTTCCCAACAGACGAAGGAAACGTCACTCCAAATGGATCAAAAACATGAACCAGTCAATAACATAAGCATAAGCTTCCAAACCGTTAAGATCAAAAAGTTTATATGTTGAATTAAGGTTACAGCTTCCTAATAAAGTCAAATACCTGGTCAAAGATGTCAATGTAGACTTGCTGAAGTGAATGAGAGCTGCAGAACTGGTTGATCTCATGATGAATCTTGTCATAAATCCATGTGTTATCATAGTTCACCCCATAGTTGAGCAAAGTATCATAAACATAATCCTTACGCAGTCGATTAACAACCTACAAACATGTTTATTCTGATCAATACATATAATTAAGATCAACAGACCTTTAAGCAATGGTAATGCCAGTAGAAAAACAAATCTAAAGACACTTACTTCTATCTTCTCAAAGGTAATCATGACACCTCCTTTGGTACCACATGGTATATCCTTCACCTAAGACACAGAGAATTAATTAGTTAAAAATCTAACAACCTAAACAAATCCAAGCTTTTTTTATGGTATAAGACTCACTTGATCTGTTTGTAGAGTAACTTGAACAGGCTCATAGTTGGTTATGAAAGGCAGCTTCAGATGAAAACCTGAATCACACAAAGTAAATTCCAATTTAACAAAAGAATGAAATCGCAATGAAACTACGAAAAGGAATCATAAATACCTGGCTCTGTGATTATGTTTAGAAGAGCACCACCTCTCCAATACGCTCCAACGTGACCTTCAGGAACTTGATGCACTAACGATGACGGAAACATAACCTGATGACAATTCATTACATAAGCAAAATCTTTAACAAAAACAACTCAAAGTGACGTTTTTTAGTTATGTGTCCCTCAAATAGGTTCCAAAAAGTGTACTTGTGACCTTACACTACACTAATCCAAAATCTAAAACGAAACAAGATAAAATCTAGGTCGAGAATAATACAAAGTCATCAACTTTAAGTCAACTTGTGATACAAAGCTTCAACATTTCGAAAAGGGTTGACTCAGAATCGAAAGATGAAACATTTAAGAGAGAACCGATTTAGTTAAGATGCGTGTATAAACAAACACAGAGATCAAACGAGTAAAGAGGAGATGAGATTATACCAAGGCGGCGATTGCAGCGAAAACACCGAAAGCAATGAAAATCGAAGATACATCGCCACCGGGTTCTCCGACCGGTGGTGTGCGAGGAATTTCAGGTCTCCGTTGTTGAGCATCCATGGCGAATTTTGCTTAACCGGAAAAGTTTTGTGTTCAGTGGAAAAATTGGAAAACTTGGAAAGGGGTTTTTCAAGATGAAGCCTTTTTTTTTACCTATGGGGTTTTTATAAGGTGTGGGAGGAAATACCGTAACTCCGTGTGTCTAATTGATATCGAACCGTGGAATGGAGGAGAATCAATGAATGGATCTTTTTTTTTTTTAGATGTGGGAGTAATCTCCAAAATTTATATTTCATTAAAAACTTTCTTTTTTAAAAACAAATCTTCAAATATTAAACAAACATTATGTAGATTTGTTTTCCAGTGTGAAACATATTACTTAAAGTCTTGAAGAACGAAGAAAAAACTAGTACAGAAAGAAAAAAGTTTATTTTTGATTAAAATCATATTTTTGTTTTTATTCTCTTACCAATAATTTTATTATAACATATATATAATAATTTTATGTTTTATTTTTATATATTGTATTTGCTGCTGGTGGGTGGAAATATTGATTTGGGAATAAAAATGGTGAAAACAACTATATAAATTTTGAAGGTGGAAACAATCGTGATGATGTATGTAGATTTGGGAGATGAATATGGTGAAAACTACGCTGTAAAAACAATGTTGACGATGAGGATCTTCATGCAAAACATTACATATTTCTATAAGTTAGTCGGGGATTCTCGACCAAAATTATATGGGTCTCGACCAATAAAAGAATCGGTATGATATATTCACTGAGGTTTGGCCAACTTTCTTTGGTTTTCTTCTCTAGCTCCTTGACACCTCTCATGGGGTCCTCCAGCACTTGGTCCACTTTCTTGAAAATTTATATTTCTTTTTCAAACATCAACTACTAAATAAAGAAGATTCATACACTAGCGGAAAATTTTATACTAGATTCTTTGATTATTTACCTACAAGGCCAAAAAAAATGTAGGTATTATACAGGATCCACGCGAGATAGTAAATCAGGATTTGGAAAAGTCTAAAGCATAGTCGAATGACTATGACAAGTTAGGACCGCGAGTTTACTTTATTCCCATGCAAGATGCAATGAGTGTTGAGATGTCGGATCGATGGCTGGCTCTTGGAAGGTTGATGGCCAATATTCTTGAATCACTTGAATTTCAGACGTGTTGAAATTAACTCACCATTCATAATTAGATTGTCTCCTATGTGCATTGTCGACCATCATTTTGAATTGTTCCTACCTTAACACAAATTGAATGGTGTTGGTGAATCATTTTTGAAAGGCACAAACGTAAATGTAAACACTGTCAATTGAATGTTAGTGATTGTATAGACGCAAACATTAAAGTCGTTCATGATATATGATTGATTTTCTTTTTTCTATAAAACGATTCGCATTAAAACTTTAAAAGAAATTTTCATCACTAAAAATAGTGTGCAATTATCATATAGATTATAGCAAGATAGTATTAAGTTATTTCTGAATTCGGTGAGAAAAGGAAGAAAGTTAATTACTACGGTGGAAAGTGAAAGTGAAGTAGAGGAAGTAGTAGTAAAACGAACATGTTGAAATAATGAAGAATGTTGAAGTAAAATTAAATGGACAACAAAACCATATTAAGACACCAACAAATTAAGGGAAGAAGCTTTGTTAGAAGGACGTATAGGAAGGACCTATTGCAAAGTCTTCGATGAAATACAGAATTATTTCGGTGTCGTGTATACCATTTGCTGATCGTATTCCAAGCCCAAGGCACATCACAATGCGGATGCATGGTAGAAGGAAACGATAAATTTAACTAAAAGCTTTCGAAGAAACATGCAACTTAATTGAAATTGGGCAACGTAACTAATTATATTCTATCTAACTTCGCATAGTCTCAACGACATCGTTTCCACTTCACTCCAAAGTACATATTAGAAGATTCTAAACCATCGGTCTTTTCTGAAAGAAATATTCTTTTCTGTGTACTTTTATACTTTTTGGCTTAATATTATCTGGTTCCCGTGGATCAGTGAGGAATCATAACTTTAACACAACCAACAAGCTGGTGGGTTTCACATTGCTTACTCATATCTAGTTATGTTGTGATGGGCTAAGTCATGCCTGAAAAAGGTCTAATCCAATCATGATAATTAATACTGTACTAGTTTTCTAAGGACCGACTCAAAACAAACCAATTTTATAAAGAAAAAGAGGTTAGAAACGCGGTAATAACAGTTTAAAAGTAGATAAGATGTGTAAACATGTCCATTAGGGCCAAGCACGGCCGGTCTGACCAACAAACCAAACTCGGACTTAGATATTTAACCTTGCAGAAAAAACGAGCATATATTAAGCTTTTTCAGCTTAGCAAATCAGGTTCATACCGAAATAATATTGATCAAAAAAAAAAAAAATTTTGGGGCACCATAACACTACCACTTCCTATATTGTTTGCATTCTATTTATGTTACTTGTTCTCTTTACTCTGCATGTAAACACTTAAAGAAAGATTCCATTAAATCCTTTCTTACATACATTACATAAAAATAGCCTAAACAACAAAGCCAACCACTAAAATGGATGTCTGCCTCAAAGAACTTGCATTCATACGTGGCATAATCTCATCCGTACATCAAAAACGTCAGCCTCACGTTCTTAATCACTAGCCTTTTATAGAAACGCAATGACGGAGAAACCAAGTGTGAGAGCGATTGAAATGAACAAACTCGAGGCACTATTGCCTGAAGGGTCTAAAACTCCGACCGGACCAAACGCAGGAGGTCCCTGAAACGGTTGTGTTCCTGAAGGAGTTCCGGTCGTTGGAGTTGTCCCTGCACTTCTGTGTAAGAAAAAAACATGTAACATACACCAAACTTGTAACTTTTAAGGCACGTTATATATATAAAAGAGAAGTTTAACCAAACAATCTCTTTACCAAATCTTGAAAAGTGTAAAAGAAAAAACAGAAAAATGTTTATTTGTCAATTTCAGCTGTTGAGAATGGTTGGTCCTTTCTGCCTTCTTGATTAAATGAAATGAATAAAGAATTAAATTTTGATTTTCACTTTTTATGAGTTCTTGGCAAATTTTAAGAGTTTAATGGAAGTTATTAGTAAACAAACATACCCAGGACTTGAAGGATAGATGCAACCAGTGACCACAGCTGCAAAAACAAAATTCAAGAAACAGAGGAAATAATCAAAAAGATTGCATCATAAGACCAACAAATTTAGATTTTAGAGATTTGGGTTTTTACTTGAAGGAGGATTTTGGCTGGTAGTAGCAGTTCCTGAGAAATTACAGCTTCCAGAGATTTGACCAAATCTTTGGAAATAAGTATTAACCGCCCAATCACAATGACTCTTGACAGTGTTTGGTTGATAACAAGGACCTTTGTCATGAATTTGATTACAATCTTTTAAAACTCCACATGCATAGTCTATTGATGTTTGAAGATCTTTCTCTTCAATACCATCTCTACATAGACAATAAGTTGCACCTAAAAACAAAGAAAGTGAGACAGTTGGTTTTAGTTTCAAACCTCAAGATTCAAGAACAGAGAATCATTTTGAACAGAAAGCTTACTTGAGTAGGTGGTTAAAGCCAAGAGAAACAAGAGACCAAGAAGCAATCTCATGATGGACCAAAGCAAGTTTTTAACTTCAATGTTGTAACACAATCCAAGAAGATAGCTTCAAAGACAGAGAAAAGAAGAAGAAGAGAGATGAGATTTAGATGAGAGAGATATGAGTTTATTAATAAAAGAGAGTGTTAAGACCATACCATCTCTCTCTGGTTCCGAGGTTTAACCACAGACAAGAATCTGAAAATTTCAGTGTCCAAACTCCAAAAATGTATATGGTCCATGGTAAATTCTGAACATTTGTATTTATTTTTTTGTAACCAAAATTGAAAATTGTAATTTTTTCATTTATCGTTTGGTAGTTGGTACAATTTAATTATTCTTAGTCAAAATAACCAATTAATCGTCGTGATTTTATCGTGAGACCATTATGGTAGATTTAATACTCCCTCCGTTTCAAAATATAAGTTGTATTTGAAATTTTTTTGTCGTTTTCTAGTTTTTATGCAAAATATATGTTATTTTAATATTTTATGATTATTTCTATTATGCAATCTCTTTTATGATTGACTGAATTTTTAAAAAGTAGATCTTCTTAATTGATGTGCTTTTAGCTAAAACGATTTATATTTTAAAACGGATGAAGTATTATTTATAGATTTTGAAAAGCATTAATTTTCGTAAATAAGTATTTTTATTAATGTTCGTCTAATAATGTACGATGGAAAAAGATTAAAAGAAAGTTGGGAATTGACAAGTATTAGAAATTTTATTAATATAGGTGAGTAAATGCTGACCTGGCCCTCTTGTTCTCTGTGGTTTGTGCACGATACATTCGAAGTTTGGTGATTAAAAACTTTCTTTTTCAATTATTTTTTCATAGGTAGTGGTATTCTTTATTTTATACTTAAAACGGTAATTATTAACCCAAGGGTCAGGTCAAAACTTAACCCAACATTGGTTTTGATGGTTTCTGCAGATTCTGTTGTACGTCTCGATATGATCGTCGTTAACTTTTTATTCTTTGCAACGCTTAATTTCTAAATTTCTTTGCTAATTGTTTTCATTGGTTTCATTATTACTATAGATTAGTTGTCAGTTTGTCACATAAAATTTCTAACTGATTTAGTTCCAAATGAAAATTTGAAATGGACTTCTTTATGATAGAATTTCAAGAGATATGAACTGTCAAATTATTTTGTAAGCTGATTAGCCACCGATATTGAATGAGAGAATATTCTCGTTTTGTTAACTAAAAGAAGAAAAATATAGCGAATAAAGTTTCGATTTCTTTGTGGCCTTTTCTACAAAATATATTTATCAATTAACATTGTTCATTTAAATGATTCTGACTAAGCCAAAAACTGTTTAGAGATGTACCAATCAAGTTTCAAACCAAGATTTACTCCAACCAAAGTACAGTCTCATAACAAAAATGATTCTAACACCTTCCAAATTTGTGACATTCTTTTTCATAATTTTTTTTTCATCAAATGATTTTTGTATATTGGGTTGCAAATAAAACTGTAATATGATTATGGTTGAAAAATAAATACAGGTAAGGTGGTGCTTAGACTATTTTATGCCTTGTTTGAAAAATCGCTAGGCGCTAGTCGGGCGTTCGGTATGGGCCTAGCGATTAATCGGAAAATCGGATTAAAATCGAAGATTAATCGGGGATTAGTTTTAGGGTTATTTTGATATTTTTAAAACATATTAATTCAATATTGTTTTCAAAATTGCAGTAAACACATAAAACTTTATTTTTGAGACAAATTTTTATGATTTTTATTGCGAATTTATGATTTTTATTAAAATTTGAACATAAATTATTGCAAAACATCACAAACTCCCACTTTAAATGATTGAATAACAAAAATAAAAAGTTTTTTTATAGTTGCAATCTAAAAATAATCGGGATATGTAAGATTAGGCGGGGAGTAATCGGATTAGGCGGGAAGTAATCGGATTAGGCGGAGAGTAATCGGGTAACTGATTTATTTAGGGAATTAGTCATTAATCGAATAAGATAGGATGGATCTAGCGATTAAGCGAGGAGTAATCGGGTTTGGCGGGAATTTTTAGAACAGGGATTTTATGTAATGAAAATAAAAGAATATCGCTGACTTTAAGAGCATAATTCCAAGGACCACTCCATATCTAGCACATGAAGATGCATCATACCAATCAGATATATATTTAGATTTGTGGCGTAAATATATTTATGCGGAGACATATTGTCGAGATAAGACGAGCTCGTCTATAATTACATGATCGTGTTTAATTAATGCCATTACTAGAAATTTTGCCGCAATACCAAAGAGATTCCAACAATCTAAATGATGGTCTTATGATTTTAAACGATAAGTTATTTGACTATAAGTTTAGTGTATACTATCACTACAATTTTCTTAATTATAATCGATAAATAATTTAATATAATAAAAAAAATTAACACCTAGGCGATTAATTCATCAATTTAGACATGGTTAACGCCTACATAAATTCATAATATTAATTAATCCACATTATCCAAACATATAATCCACCATCTAAAGTAAACGCAGACAAAATAGTTCCTTTGAATACATCTTTTTATCTAAGTATAAGAGTAAGATGGTCATAATGAATTTTCTAAGTGACATAGTAAATAAATATTCAACAAGATTAATTATGGTAATTTATAATATTCGATAAAAACACTCGCTGCCTCCTACGATTCATTTTCTACTGAGAAAACATAAAGAGAGATACAAGCAATGAAATAAGTTACGTAGCCACCCACAAACCCTAACCCTAAAATTTCATTGCTCTAACTAATTAATCAAGAATCTTTTTTTTTAGAATTTGAGAGTTATTTCACTTCCATTAATATTGCTCTGATCTTCACCTTCATCCCTAAGAGCAGCCAACCCTTTTCTCTCTCCGCCACCACTCTCCGACGACTTTCCTTCTTCGGTGGCGCTGTCCGTTAACTGATGATGAGTTGAATCGGTGGAGGCGGCGCCACCGGATGAGCCGTTAAAGGTTTGAAAGTGGTGGTGGTGGAGCGGCTGCGTAGGCGGTGGGGTTGTGTAGAATTCTTGCGAGGAGCAAAAGTGTGGTGGAGGCGGCCCTGCCGTGGTGGTGTGGTGGTGGTGGACTTGGTGGTGGTAGAGAGTCGGAGTTCCACCATGTGTGGTGGTGTACTCTGGTGGAACCCATATGCCACCTAGGACCACCAAATGTGGACCTGGCCCACCTGATGTTTGTGGGTTTGGGCTTGGTCTTCTAGTGTGAAGCCGATATTTCTGTTTGTTTAAAATTAATACACCATTAGTAAAGTACTTAACTATGAGTTAAAAAAAGTTGTAAGCATATTGTGGTGGCTTGTGATTTAAGTTACCTGGAGATGGCTTTTGACTTCATCATTGGTCAGGCCATCAACTTTCATAAGTTCCCTTATTTGTTTCGGTGTAGCCACTGCAAAATATAACAAACATATAAATACGGGCATTTAGTTCCGTATATATATATGAAATAGGTTCGATTCAAAAAAATTAAACCATTTTTTAATCAGGTTAACAAGGTTATTTTATATTATATATATAAGCTAAATCCAAATCAAAACCAAAAAAAAAAAAAATTATTTGAAAACTAACTATATATCTAAACGATGGTCAAGTTGATCTCTCATATTCTTGTTTAAACCAGGTTGATCTATAGTATATTCAATTTCACTTTAGGTACTATTTTTTTATCAACCGAAAAAAACTAGAAGAAAACTCCAACTAAAAACTTTATATGCCTTTGAAAAAATAATAATAATAATATATGATTAATTAAGAGATGAACCTTAGCAAAATCGAAATCATGGCAATTTGCCATACCATATTCATTTTCACACCTAACAATCAAATAAAAAGAAGGCCTTTTAACAAAAATAAAAACAATCGAATAAAACCCAAACTGATACTTGGATTCAGTTATAAGACTCTAAATTATAAAACAAGATATGTATAAATATACAGTATACAATAATGATATATTTGGCGAATCAAATATCATGTATACTAGAAAAAAATCTTTCTAATTAGTTGACAATTTTGTGAGATTAACCATGGTAAAGCTACAACAAATTAATAATTAGTTGATTAGAATAAGTGTATTTGTACCTTGCGAACCACCAAGCATTTGAAGAGCTTGGACAAATCTCCGGTGCAAGTCCGGCGACCAGCAACGTCGTGCCTTTCTATTACTTTGACTTGTTGTAGAAGAAACTCCATTGCTGTTTGAATTGTTATTATTATTATTATTATTATTGTTATTATCATTGTTGATCATGCTCTCATCATTACCGTCTTGGCCATTAGTATGCTCATTGGTCGGAGACACCCTCTTGACCTCCGTAGATAGAGCTAATTCAGGCAAAGATTGTTCCTTAGAGAAGGGAAGAAAAGCACCGCTGCCATTTCTTTGTTTTGCATCAAAATGTCCGAGTTTGGGACTACTAATAATCTCGTCTTTGGGAAGAGATTGATCAGTAGTTGAATCAATGTTTTTTGGTTTGGTTTCGGATTGGCTCCAAAGCTGAGCAGTCGTCATCCAGTTACTTCCTTTGTTTGTTTTTTCGGGTTGGTTCCTTAAGGGTATGAACTCTTCAAGAACTGGTCTTGTGGCAACACTTTGGTTATTGTTATCACTATTTGCTCTATATGCTTCTAGTTGTCGTTTGTAAACTTCCACAGCTGGAAAAAAAAAAAACTAAAGATGGTAAAGTAATTTAACATATGAAAGTAAGAGATGTATATAACATGAACCTTATAACCTTTAAAATCACTTTAGTTAGTTTTGTTGATTTCAGTGTTGGGAGGAAACAAAAGTTTTGTGATTCAAAGAAATCAAAAGCAAGCTCTGATTTTTATGAAATAAACTCTTGAAATAATGAATAAAGATCTTTTCAAAAAAAGTAAAAAGAAATTCAAGAACTCTTCTATACGTATAATATTAATAACTAATGGTTCTCTAGGTTTTTTTTTTTGGTAATAAAGGGATTTTTTAAGATATTATACTTACAAGTATATATTGATGTATATCTAAATATTTGTCTAAATATTTGTAAATGGATATGTGTACCATTGTTAAGGAGTTGCATGCAAAGGGGAAGCTCGCGTTTGAAGGCATCGATCTTGAGACGTTCTTGTTCTAGGCGAGAGAGAAGATCTTCGAGCTTTTGTGTAGTTGGATCGCTCTGAAAGTTATCACCAAATGATTTCAAAAGCATAGAGTAGCTTTGTGGCTTGCAATCCAAGCTTAGTTCTGATGAAGAAGCCATATATTGATATATATAGCTTATATACTTTCTCTCTCTCTTTCTCTGTATAAGAAGAATATTTATTGATTATACAAATATGTAGAGATTATAAAGGAATCAAGAAGAATTTGTGGTGCCTTCAAGTTTCAGATGATATATGCTATATGGTTCTTCAGAAATATTTCAATGATTTTGAGGGTTTTTGGAAATTAGGGTTTGGAGAGGAAGAGAGAATGAAGAAGAAGATAGAAGAAAAAGGGAATAAAATGTTAGGTTGTGGACACAAGGAGGATCACGAGTGAGGTTCCTGTCCTTTTTAGAGGGCTCAATTCAAAGGAAGGGAATAATGTGATCTGTCACCATACACATATACACACATACACACACCAATGTATCTATTGAGACAGACAGAGAGAGAGAGAGAGAGAGAGTGAGAGGCTTCTTACTGTTTGAAATCGTTCCTCTTCTCTAATGAGTCAATTACTGAAGGTGTGACTCTCATTTCTCAAAAAGCTTATTCAAGGCTTTTGATGCATGCTACCTTACATGGTTTCATGAAGCTTAAGTAACCTACTCATATATATGCTTGTTTAGAATATCTATTGGCTTTTTACAACTAAATATTATGGACAAAATTTGAGGATTTCATTGGTGTTTTAGTGGTTATGAAAAAATTATGCTTGTAGACATAATTAATAATAATGGTAATATGCAACGATTCAATAATAACTTCAATTTTATCGTATTTTAGTGGAATAACAATATATATGATAAATAAATAAATAAAAAGTGAAACACAATGAAAACAAGTCCTTTAGAGTAAGAATTTCTATTAAAAATATATTACGCATATATCATACAAGCAATCACACTTCTTGATGAAGCAATATATCTATCCCTAATATTTTTAATTTTATTGTTAGACATCAAACCCTGCCAGTTGTTTGATATATCATGGTAGTAATTCGCATGACTTTTGCTGTCATAGCAAAACAATTATCGACCATATGGTTAATAAAAATTATTTATGATTCAGTAAATATCATATAGTTAATAAAATTATTTATGACTAAGTTTACACAATAAAATCATCATTTGATTTTACACAGATTCCGATAAATTATTTCCATTTGATTTTTTCTTCTTTTCTTCTCTTATTATGCTTAGTTTTTAATCACTTCTTTTATCAAATTAATCTATTTATAATTCCATATGAAAGAAAGAGAAAAGAGAGGCTAAAGGAGAAAAGAGGAGGATATAAAGCAGCAGGGCAAAAGGGAATATATGGAAACTTGTTATAAAGAACAAATGGGTAAGAAAATAAAGTTTTAAATTATTTCTATTAAAGCGATATATTGTTGTTTTTAATCTCAGATTCCGCTTTTGTTGGTTCACCACTTCACATAGCTTATACTTTTGTAAATTCAGTTTCATAATTGTTTAGATAAAATATGTTTCCTAATTCTGCCATAAATCAATGATCTTTAGCTCATGTTGACAAAAAAAAAAAGATCTAAGCTAACATTTTCAGATAGTTGGTTCTTATCTTTTTCGACAAAGTTAATTAAATAAAATTATGGAATCACCACCGCAATTATATGATAGGAATCAATGGTGAACGTTTTAATTTAGTACATTTAGGGCAATTTAGAGTCGTTGCCATAAAAACAAATATTCTTCCACCACCTTCTAAATTTATATAATTAATTATTTTTTCAATGGAATTGAGATTCAATATAAATCAAAGAAGCATATACTAGGCAACAAGATTTTTATATTTATAGTTGCACGACGGCGAGAGAGAGAGAGAGACAGAGATAACGATTGATCAATATTTTTTTCTAAATTGATTTTTTTTTTTAAAGTTGAATAATTATTCTAAATTTTAGTGGATGCAAAAGAGAGAAAGAAAGGGAATATCTGATTTAGTTTATTGTAAGGATTTGCACCAAAAAAACAAAAAAAAAAAGTTTATTGTAAGGACAGATATTCATAATATTGAAAGAAGTTTGAGAGTCGCAGAATCTTCCCACCGGGCTTTAGTGAAGTGGCCAGGAAGGTAGAAGATTCTTCTTACTTAGAAATTAGAAATATTTTAAACTTTTTCAAAGACAGTCTTTGCAATACAAAGTCTTTCAAAATTTCTTTATGTATCTAGGTTTCAATGAAAACTAATGAACTAATTATTGTAGACCTGAAAAAAATAACTCTCTCATATGCTTCACTCTTTAATATTTGATGCACCTACGTTATAAAAATTAATTATTAGATATATTCATATTAAAAAAAAAAAAACAATTTGATTTGGGCTGGATCAATTTGATTTTGATGATAAAAGTTTTTTTTACTATCCAATCAATTTTATAATTAAGGCAAATAAGAAAGCATTTAGAAGTTGTAATTGTTTAGTGCTCTATGCTTTCATATAAGAAAATTTCTAGAACATTTATCTCTAAAATTTAATGAAGCAAAAATAGCTTTACATATGTAAAGTATTTAAGATGTGAGAATCTCGTCCTCTTATTAGTACTTATAAATTCCTAAAAGTGAGAATAACTTACCTTGGCTAATTGGAAAAATATGATGTTTTTAGTCGTCTAATCACTAGCTAAACCGTGTATGTTTTTGTACTAGATATATAGTGTGGCCACACTACCTAGTGTTGAAAACCCTTCTAACATGTGGTCTTATAAATCGAGTTATTTAGATTTTTGTAGGATCAACCTCAGATCCTTCTAAAGGCGGTCCAAAAAAAGAAAAGTTGAACTAAGCAATAACGCTACGTGATCGTGAAAATGCAAGTGATACTACAAGAACTGCTTAAATTAATCTATACATGACGTTAAATGATTCACAGAAGCTGCTTGCAACGATACTTAGTCTAGACGATATAGATAATAAGGTTGATATATATATATATATATCGTTTCTAATCCCTAACTAGTACAATTGATCAAATAAATTTGTAATGGGAACAGAGCATTTAATCAATAAATTATTTATGTTGCTTATTTCTAGTATACTACTATGAGTTGTTCCAGTGAGGTCAGATCAAATTAATTTTGAAATCTTATGAAATGAAAATCAGTTTTTATTACTGTATAAGTAAGAAATGAACTCACTTATCTTTTATGATATCGCATTTTAAAATTAGTTACTCTTGTCTTTTCTTTAATATTTTTGTTTATAATGCCACATAAATTTTCGGACAGACCCTCCGACATGCATATCCTAAAATTCTGGATTTCCAATTCAAATATTTCATATTATCTTCAAATTTTTTTTTTTTTTTTTGGTGATCTCAAAATTCTTTTAATTCAAGTGATGATGTGTTATTCTATACGCTAATATTTTCTTAAGTACAACTATCATTGTACCTTATTCTCTTTTAACTCTTTTTAATTAACCAAAAATGCGAAACTTTTAGTTAATTTATATAAATTCAGAAATAACAATTACTTGAACATTCTTGTTATCATGATATCATCCAAGCCTCTGAACAATCATTCGAAATTAGAATGGAATTATATATCTCCTCTCTTACAAAATCAATGGTTATCTCAATAACAACTAGAGATATTGCAGTGTCAAAAACTTTGCAGACTGAACCGACCTGGTTCAGTTAAAGTCATTAGTATTTTAGGGGATTAAAACAGGATTATTAATCCAAAAAAAAAATATTACTATTAGGTCGGATATGGTCTACAATATTGGAAAAACTATGCCAAGGATTTCGTATAAAACTGATCATTAATACTATAGGACCGGACCAGACCAAACTAGATCCAATTCATAACCGACCGCAAAACCATTTGACTGAACATATTAGAACACATCAATAATCAAACAATTGTGATTCTAATATAAAATAAAAACGATGAACGGAACGTAACTTGGACTACTCGTATCTTTATCCTCTTTTAGACGCCAGAAAAGTAGAAAATTGAATTCTTTTGCGAGCCGACAAAGAAAAAAAAAAGGCTTTTGAAAAATGCATAGTTATTGACATAAGTTTTAAGTGACTTAGGTATATTCTTGTATTTCTCTATTATTAAATCTCTTTTTTTTTTTAAGTATTACCTAATTTCTAAAACCATGCACAGATGCACTATACATATTATAGGAGCGATCAATCAGATATATCAAACTGAACTTAAGCAATCTCAATAAAAAAAAAATCAACCTGAAATTGAAATGCATTATTTAATATGGATAAAATGGCTTCACATATTAAGTTTTAGTCGGATTTTTTTCGTGTTTAAGGTGGTAAAATATTTTGGGTTTTCAGGTATAACCGGACTAGCGATAGACTAAATAATCGGATTGAGGGTTACCAATCTAACATGCCCGATTTCAAAACAATTGTTATATAAAATATATAATATCTTGAAGAATCTATACTATTAATTGGGAAGCACTCAAACATAAATAACCTTATAAAGTGTAAAGTATTACAAAAATGCCATTGATTTTTGTTTTTAAATAAATTCATTAAAGATACAATAGTAATCACAAAATAATATATTTAAATAAAAAATAATAAAATTCTTTAAAGTAATTATTAGTTTTCAAAAAATTAAACTCACTTTCTCTCTCTTATTAATTATGGACGAAAATTTAAAAAAAATTTCGAAAAAGTTGTTAACCAATGAGAATTGAAAAACTAAGAATTTGATATCCAACTAAAATTTTACCAATCCTAATAAACTATTCTATATCAAAAATAAAAATAAAAATAATACCATTTTAATTCAAAATTAAGAATACTAAGTTTAAAATTTTTTATCAATGGAAGATTTTAAGATTGAATTTGAAATTTCGTAAAAAAAATTAAATACAAAAGACTCAGTTTTGTTATAATATTTTCACAAATTTTGAAATATAAAACAAAATTTTATTTCACAATTTCTAAAAAAACGATATTGGGCATTCGTTTAGAGCAAGTTTCGGAAATATCTAAACAATAGATTGTACATATTAATTTAGATATATTTTGTGTTTTCTTTTTTTTTTCTTCTCAATTGGATCTTCCTTAAACCACTCCATAATATATTGCACATAGTTTTCGAAATAATGTGAACTAATTATATATTTTGCATTCAAAACAAATTATGCAGTAATAGCATATCCCTTTTATAGATTTATCTCAAATTTTAATTTTAGTCCAAAAAATCTAATTAATTATGATTAAACAATGAAAAGAAAAATATGCAAAATTTAGCTAGAAACATTAATAAATTTGTTAAAATATATTTGTAACTTTAACAGCATACATATTAATCCGCAAAACTCACAGTATGTATTGTAATATTGTATGGTACTAGATTTGAACCCGCGGTACACCGCGGGGCTATAATTTTTTTAAAAAAATTTAAAATATAATTTGTTTTGTTTATTAATAGAGAGGATAATATATTATTTGTATTTTTGAAATGTATCATCCATATATCTATATTAATAGTTTTGAGTATATTAATTGTGTTTTAGGTTTATTGGTATAAAATATAGTAACTTTAATGAATAGTTCAGTAAGCAACGCTTAGACCAAAAACAACATATATATATATATATATATTTCTCTATATTATATATATATATATATATATATATATATTTAATTTTTTGTATAATGTAGCAGTCATAGTTTGTTAATTATATTGTTAATTTATGTAATTGAAGGTAAATATTATTTGGTTTTCTCATTTTGTTTGTTTGTAAATTTTATAATATATCTCTTCAATATAGATAGTTTTGTTGTGAAATGGAAATATTAGGGATGAAAATTATGATTTGTATAATAGTTATAATTATAACTCGAATTTTTTAAAACTTTGATTATTAAACTGAACCAATTTTATTAATTTATTTATTTATTCATTATATTGTTGTAAAAAAAAAAAAAGTAAAGTATGTTGATCTTTAAAAAAAAAAACATACATTAGGACGTATCTATAAAATTGAATTTCATGGAGCATTATATTCATTATAGCATATAAAGGTTAGTTTCTTTAAAACGTGTTAGCTATAAGATTTATCAATTTTGTGTAGCAGAGGTAGTGATAATTAAAAATTCTCATTGCAAAAAATGTCTGAAGTTTGTGATGAAACTGAAAATATCTTTGAATATATTAGGTTTGTTAGGAATATACCAGTTTTATGCGGTTAGAATTACGAAATTAATTTGTTAAAGATTAATGTTAAAGATTATTAGGTAGATATTGGAATCTATATATCTATTTTGGATGGTGCACATTCAAGATTTCGTGGGATTTATTATTTTGAATTAATTATATTGGAAAAGACAAGTTGGGAGATATGGAATTGTGATAACGTAATTTAGCTTTGTTAGGATGCTTATTTTATGGCAATATAGCAAATCGTTTCTTAGGAGATATTTTTTAATATCTATGTGGATTAATTTAAGGAAGTTAATTAATATTGAGTTTGTTTTGATTTCCTAAATCTGTTGCTTATATTGTCTCATAATTAATAACGAATTTCATTTATTGTTACAGGAAAAAGAATCGGAAATATCCGATTGAGACAATATTGAATTGGTTTGATTTCCTAAATCTATTTTGTATATTGTCTTTTTAATTTATAACGAAATTCATTTATTGTTGGAGGCAAAAATTTCGGAAATATCCGATTGAAACAAACCGGGTCAATCGTTATTAAAAAACCCGACCCAACCAATGGCATTTTTTGTAAATACTTCCCAACTCCAGGATTTATTTACTAAAAGTGTTCCAAAAATGTATATATAGATTTAAAGGTAAGTAAACAAGAATTTGGAACATAATTTTAATAGAATAAAATGGAAATAGAAATTACGAGACGAGATGGGAGGGGAACATATATTAAAAATCAAACTAAATACCCAACTGGTATGAGTTCGGGTTTTGAGCACTATATAAAATAAATTTGTTTATACACATAACCCTGTACATACGTTTTCAGTTACACATACTCTATTTATGACAGATATGAGACCGTAATATTTTTATTTTACATATACCTGACATGTTATGAGACAAAGAATTTATGACATATACCGGACGGGATATGTTTCATGTTCCAAAATAGTTACGCCTTGCTAATATATATGAAATAACCCAAACTAAAACCGAATTCATATCCTATTTAACATATGTAGTCAAACTGTTAGAACTGTTTTGATTAGTTAAGAAAATAAAAATGTAACACCATTTAACTTTTGCAACTAAATTAGTCCGGATCTTAAAATATAATTATGCATTAACGCAAATGAATTTTTTGTTCATTACTCTAACTTTATAATATTTATATTATTACGAAGTTTACTATTACAACAAAATATTTTATATTTTTAAAATCTATATAACAATTTCTATAAAAATATTTCTACACGTACGTGGATCCAGATCTAATACACTAAAATATATATCATAAAAACAACAAAAATAGTCTATATTAAATTAAATTTTGTCAGAAATTTTTTAAAATATGAAACCCCGCACGTACGTGCGGGTCATGATCTAGTAACATGTAAAAAAGAAGAAGAATATAGAAAAAGGAAAGTGGAGAAATATTCGAGAGTCCGTATTTAATACAGACAAAGGGGATATTCAGACAGAAATCAAAGTTAAGAAGCAAGTCGGAACGTGTCACGAGAGAATCTCTTTTGTTCGTGATTTGCATGGGATGCTAAAAAAGAAATAACTCTTTACTTTTCGACCAAATTAAAAAAAAAAAAAAAACAAAATGTAATACATTCCTGAAATAAAAGAAAAGAAAAGAAAAGAAAAAGAGGTAATTAAAGTTGGATTCTAAAGAAGAATCTTTAGAAAAGTTAAGGGTTGGAGTCTTGCACATGAAGATTTTAATTGGTTTGAACAAATGCGACCAACCAACAATTTTTTCTTCCAATTTATGTTATTTTATTTTCTCATGTTACATGTCCATTTTTTTTGTCAAAATATAAAGGTTATTTTTTCCGTATGCTGATTTTGGAGGATAAATGGTATTAGTTTTTTTACTCAAAAAAAAAAGGTTTATTCAAAGGAATGAAATGTTGATGGAATTCAAGACTAATAATACAAAGGGAATTCCAAAATGACTGGTTAATGTGTTGAGGGAATTAGGTACCTTCAATTTTTTAAGAACATTCTTTTTATGTATAAAATTATTTTAAATTTTTATTTGCTTTAACTTTCATGCAAAGTTCTTTATTGCTCTTATCCTATTATATTACTGCATATTCTGGCATGCTAATTTTACAGAACACATGAGCGAACAAACCAACACAAATATACGTGTATATTCGTGGCTGCGTGTATATAATATAGATTAATATATAATAATTTATCTATTTTGTGCTTTAACAAACAAAAAATATCTATTTTGTGTGTGTAGAGTTTAGAATTTATACATAGATTCAGGAATTTTTAGTCTAGAGTGATTAAGTTTTTCTTTTTTTTGTGATTAAGTTTGTACGATATTAAACCAATAAATTATAATTTGGTTCCACGCATGGAACCTAGTTTGCCTCAAATTCAGCTACCCATGTTTTATATATTCATCTGGGTTTCCAAAAAAATCTAACAAAAAACTTGTTTTGCCTTCAAACATAAATATGGCACATTGGTTAAGTTAGTCCAATGTGAAAACATATGGACTTTAGTGATATAATCCGATTGATAACAAATTAACAATATAACATAACGATACTTTTTTTTATCTGTTATAATGAGTAAGAATTATGTATCAAGTTCAAATAATATCTAAATATTGGAAGGTAACAATCAATTGGGGATGTAGCTCAAATGGTAGAGCGCTCGCTTTGCATGCGAGAGGCACGGGGTTCGATCCCCCGCATCTCCATTCTTTTGTACTTTTTTTTTTTTTGACAAGTTTTAAAAAATAGGATTTCTAACGTCTAATTGCTCTCGCATAGAGATAAAAATACTCAAAAGTTTTGAAAGATTCAGAGAGTATTCTCGAAAGTTTTATGTATATAACTCATTTTACTTATCATCTCAAACCTTGGAAAAAATACATTCTTGAAAATAAAATAAAAAAGAAGTAATCTCGTTTACAAAATTAAAGAGCAAACAAAAATTGGATGAATGTAAATATATATAGCTACATTTTTGTTCCATATCAAAATTAAAGAAAGAAAAAAGAAAAATGAAAAATCAAAGAATATTGAATCTAAAAACTTTTTCTTCTACTCATAGCTACAGCTTCCACTTACATAGTCCCTTCACAAGTTTTAAAAAGCCATCCGAGAAACAAGAAAAAAATTGATTTCTCTCCAGAATTTGCAGGAGACATAATTTGGATCTGTTTTGAAACAAATAAGATTTTGATTACTTACAAGCTCAGGATTTGACATTTTGACTTAGACGAAAGTAAGAGAGAACTTACCAGTGAAAAGACTGTGTAGTGAATGTTGTTTATGGTGAAAGAAGCATATTGATGTTGCTTTTGAGTTATTTTTTGAGGAATGGTTTTTGACAGACGAGAAGTCTTTGGTCACTACCATCTTGAAGATCAATGACTCGTGATTCCCAACGCACTCGAGCTGCAAGTGCGCGAGCCATCTCGATTACTCCCACTTTGTCGCTTAGAACAACCCATCCCTATTTAATCAATCACACAAAAGGTCGAGATTTTTACTTGGGATTTTGGGATCTTATGGGGGGAAAAAAGAAGAGAAATGGTGTGTATAAATATATAAACCTCAGGGCGAAGAATCCGGTCCATCTCCAAGAATAAGTCCATTAGGCTGCATCGTTCTGAGCTAAGATGTGTGAGAAGTTCATTGGCATGAAGCATGTCATATGTTCGAGGATATGTCGGGAATGGTTCACACCTGCGCAGTGAACAAAGACATTCGAGAATCAATCATAACTTTTCGATAAAAAGCGTGACCCTTTGTGTCTTCAATTCGCTGCAAATGTTGCTTAATATCTAAAAAGATCTTCTTTAACAATTACTATAGGTGAAAGGAAAAAAAAAACACACTCACCAGTCATGTAGGACACCGGCAAAACCACGATCAAGTATGATAGGAAGAGTATTACGTGCCTTGACTGGGACAACGTTCATTACCCAAGCGGACTTTCCTTCGTCAAGTAAGGCTGCATTTAAATTCCCAAAACGAGCATTCATGTCCATCACATTGCGTATCATGTTAAAAGGCGGGAGAGGATCTTCATCACCGGGTCTCTTTGGGTGGTCAGAGAAAATCAAAGGTGTAAGCAAGGACCAATAGTTTCTCAGAGCTGATCTCCATATTTGTGTATCCTCGAAGAATTCTTCTGGTTTTAAACCTGAAATATTCAATATAAATCCAAAACAAAATATTAAATTCAAGCCCAGCAGAGGTTGTCAAAAGAGATACAGTCCATGAAACAACAAAGTGGTTGTCAAAAGAGATACTTTCCATGAATTTCAAGCCCAGCAGAGGTTGTTCCTGCAACAGCAGACCTGTTCTGTATAGGAATCCAGCGTTTACTTGTGGTTCCGCTTATACATGGAACCAGTGGGTGGTAATACGGAACACTATCTCCATCTTTGCAAACAGGTATAGAAGCTTGCGAACTACACCAACCAGAAAAAGCATCAATACGGGAAAGCCAAGCTTACACTTTAAATGCCAAGAACATGTCTCAGGATCACACTTACCGAGACGAATAGCAACTTGAATCTACAGTTTTCTGCCAAAGAAACGTCTCATCCTGCTGAGCTGTTAGACTCCAACAGATTTTCTTAGATAACTCATCCACCCGTGTTGAGATGCTCGTTTTCTTGGTATCTGGTAAGTTTCCCTGTGCTTTGTTTGTGGGGGAAGTTAAAACAAAGTATCCCCCGGGTTTCAGAACACGATCCACTTCCAAAAGTAGCATTGCATCTGTTTAAGGGCAACAGAACAGCAACATATCAGAACAAAGTTAACCATATTACGAGATCTCAACTTCAAAAGTTTAAAAACAACGAGACACGCTTGCTAGACCGTTTGATATGATTACCTTTGATATCCCAAGTAGTGCCACATTGAGCACAATGGACCATATCAAAAGACAATGCCGGGTAAGGAAGCTGTTTTGAAAAGAAATTGCCAATCATTGCAGGAAGGCCTCTCTCTAGAGCTAACTGGACTTGGCTCCCAGTTGCCTCATACTCAGCAATACATATAGGCATCAGCTTCAAAGACACTAAATGTGCACCAAAGCTACCAAAGCCGCAACCAATGTCTAACACAGTCCGTACCTGCAAGCATCAGAAGAAATATCAGAAGCTGAAGCTGAAAAAATGATGTGTAAGATAATAAGATTAAGAATACTTACACCCGCTTGCGCAAATTCAGTATCACTTCCTAAACCTATCATCTCAGCAATTTGACGAGCATAGTCTTTGACCCCATCAAAGACCAGGCCGTCCTCCGAGTGAAAAGTAATTTGATTCTCTTCAAGCAACATTAACCTAATAATGATGATAATCAAAAAGATAAATTACAGAACAGAACGAAATACATGCGAAAAGTGTATTTGAAGAAACTGTAAGTCAAAAGAAAAGACCTCGTTGTCACGGTTCCTGACGAAAGAAACTGATCTTTGGTAATCTTCACGTTACCACTCCATATGATATCTCTACCAAGTGGCCACCTAAGTGGTATTTTATAATCTCTCGGAGGTCGAACTACACATCTTTCCTTCTCTCTTTCAAACTCACAATGTCGATCTAACTCCTCACCCTCTTGAAGCCCAGCAAGCAAATTCCCAGTTATATTATAACAAGGCACATAGCTTTCTCTTTCTTTACCACACAAAGGAAACTCTTTTAAACTAGCCCCTAAAGAAAGAGACCTCAAATCAAGATAATCAACAGCAGCTTGCTCCTTTATCCTCCTATAGTTACTATAAATGTTGGGCACAAGTGTCGAACTCGTCGAAGAATCATACGAATTAGATGTCAATGGTGCTAAAATAGTAACTAAAGCCACAACACCGACAATGAAGAAAAGCAATCCTCTGATCCGTGGTCTAAGACCAAAAACCGAGGCAACACTCTTGTACCAAGAACTTCTCATATCAAAAAAAATCGTCTCTTTCGTAAACAGAAACCACTAACTCCTCTTGCTCTCCACAGAAACTTTGTCATTCGCTTCTTTCATCAAAACAAGTCTCAATTTTGAAGTACATAGTCTCATTACCACAATCCTAAGGAAACAAGGCTAGCTTTTTTTCCACTCTTTATAATCCAAATCAGGAAATGGCCTCACTAGTAGATGCCAAATTCAGAACCAAATTGAAGATTAAACTCTCAAAGGCAATGCCAATTCCGGAAATCAAAACCACCTGCAATCAAATCTCAAAGATCAAAAATTTCCCAAAAAAGAAACATTACCATTTCTAGTGAATCTATACATTAACCAAATTTTGCTCTTTTGTTGACGAAAATTCAAGAAAAAAGAAAGCTTGATAATAATTTTATGGATAAACCCATGATTGAGATCTCGAGAATGACGAAGAAGATCAGATCAAAAAAAAATTAAATGCAGATAATCCAAAGACAAATGACGATAATCAATTTAGGGTTTTTGAGATGCGTACCAAAGTTAATAGATTTCAGAGCAACAACAATGGCAACAAAAATTTGAGAGATTCAGAAGAAAGAGAGAGAGAAAGAGATTGATAGATTCCAATTATATGGGCACTCTTGTAAGTTTTTTTTTTTTTTTTTTTTTAAAATCTGAATTTTCTGAATATAGTAGATTAATAATTACAAAGAATCATAACATTAAATGATGATGATTAAGATTTTAATTGTAAGTTAGATCTAATTGAGAAAGTATGTGTAAGTAAACTTTTTAAAACAAGAATTGTTTAATTTTGTGTTACAGCAAAAAAAACAGTCATGAAAGAAGCAGCGGAGAGGAGAATAATTGCAAATTCGTGGTGCACTTTTACTTTTTGTGCATTTATTAAATTGGTCTCTGTGTCTCTTGGTCTCTTTATTTTATTATTTTTTTGAAATTAATTAGGAAAGGTTATTTTTATTATACTATTATTAATTTGTATGATTATGTTGTTGTTGGTGAGCAATAACAATCCACTACTATAAAGAAACCTAATATTTTTTTTTGTTCACCTAAAGAAACCTAATTTAGACTTTTTTTATGGGTTAAACAACATAAAAACCATTTTTTTTGTGTGTACGTGTTAGGTTAAGTATTTTATATAATTTAACTCAATTATAAGCTCACACGTATGTTAGAAATTTTATATGTAAGGTTTTAAGAGAAAATTGATAAACTCACTCGTATTTTTAATTATTTATTAAACGCATTAAGAAAAGAGATAATATCCTATATTTTAAAAAGAAATAAATCGTCCTTGTTACGATAATAAAAGTCATTATAAATTTAAAATAAAAGAGGAAAAAAAAAAAAACAAATCAGGCAACAAAACGTCAAAGCAATCGTTTTCTTATTATGTCGCATTAACAATATTGAAAGAAAAACAAATCTAAGTACCTTCACTTTTTCCATTAAACAAACATTATTACAAATTTAAAACACAACAAATTGATGTTTATTCGTAAATAATATTCAAAAATCAAACATATATATATATATATATATATATATAAATCTAAAGACAAGGATCGAACTTGGGGTTGATGTGATGATGTCTTGATCAGATAAGATAAATTAATGAGAACAACAAGATCAAATTTTAAGCGAATTATCTAGTTCAAGCAAGCTCTTTACACTCTTTGTTCAAGTAGATTGTCTACAAACAGTTTACTTGCACAACCTCATCGATGATTTCTTGTCTACCTCGTAAAGATATCTCCGTTATGAGAATTTTGAGGTTTAAGTTGCTATATTCAATTTGATGTCTCCACTTTTGGAATATTAATTCGTTTAGGTTAGATATTTCAAATGAATCTGTGACAATAAGAGGGATTCATCAATTCTATATGAGGAGGGGTATAGGCGTATAGCCCGGCTTGTCGTTGGCCCAGTGCAAGAGGTCCATTTGTATTGGATAAAGCCCATATTTTTTTTTCATGTTTAGTCGAAATTAATTTATTTCTTAGCCCAAACTAAAATAATTACACGTTAACCTAAACGTGTCGTTACTTTTCTTTTTGTAATCCATCGTTCTTTCTTCTTTTCTGGATTAACGAATATTCAATTACCTCAAAATCTAGTAAGTAACTCCAATATCCTGAGGACAAAATTTTTATTTTCCCAAATTTACTCCTCACCACCGCACCGCGTCGAGCTACTGATTAAGACGAACCTGCGTATAGCTCATACATAAAAGAGACGAATTCTATTAGTTTTTCCCCTCAAGTTCTCGCAAATATTCTCATTTAGTCTCCAAATATGTAATTTGTTATACGAAGCTTCCCTTTTTTCTATGTATGTTTTATTTCATTCCTTGCAATGGATACCATAACTCAAGTTTGTAGTCATTCAAATAAATAATATAATAACAATGATTATGTATCATAAGCTTTTTACTCAAAATCAAAATTGGTAGCGAGTGAAAAACTCATGAACCTTATATACTTGTAATAACATAACATTCTACTAAACCTCCATGAAATGAAGGCACAATTTGTTTCGGAAATATCACAACAAGATCATTAAAACGTGAGAGACCGTTAGTGGAAAATCATATCAATCGTCTCTAATGACCATGATGACATTTTGCTTAGATACAAATTCTTTAAGGTTTTAAATTATAATTATTGAACCGTTGATTTCTCACTGCAAGGTGTTGTCCACAAATCACAACCGTCACCATTGCTTTGATACCGCAAGAAACTTGTGGAAACAAAGATATTGCCAAAAATTGCAATCCATATCATATAAGTCAGAGCTCGGGCTTAACAACTTAAGCAACGACGACGACCATATGCAAAATCAAACAAAAGTCATACAAATCTTGCATATCATATAACGAAATATTCCATCTAGTTTCATTAAGAATGAGTTTTACTTCTTCTGTTTTTTTTTTGTCGTGAGTTTTACTTTTTAAAATTGTTCCTTTTAAGATTTTTGTTTGATTTCCATTATTGTCAAGATTATTTTAGGTGGTTTAAGGTTCAATTCAATTTTTAGGTTTAGATCGGTTAACTTAAACCAATTAAATACGCCTAGAAAATGGCAATACAAGTTGATTACACGTGCTGGTTTAAAAGTTGAGGCTATTTTTGTAACTTTATATTGAGAGGATTTTTAATAAGTTTAGGCCTCTCTCCCTTGTTCACGAACCCGTAACCCTAGCCGCCTTGGAAATTTCCCAAAAAAAATTTTCAACAAATTTTCTCAGATCCTCTTCTTCTCAGAGATCAATCTTCAAATCAATTGTAATTTTCTTGTTTCTTATAATTTTATCTTTCGATTGATACCTGTTTTGATATCATCCTTCGATATTGTCAAATCTAGGGTTTTTTTCAATCGAGTTCTTGATTTTGATCACAAATCGACAGATCCTTTAGGCGTTTTTCTGGGTATCGATTGTTTTCAACAACCCTTGTTTAATTTCACGTTTTCCCCAATTTTTTGTACCCTAATTTTTCTGTGTTCATCAGATCTGCAAATTGATTTAGGGCTTTTGTTCCTCGTAATGAAAATTCATTTGATTGTTTGAATCTGGACTCTCGATTTCATGTTTTTAGCCGTGAATCGAAAAATCTAGGGTTAGGTTTTCGAATTTGGGGATTTTCTAAATAATAATTGGGGAAAACTTATTTCTTACAAAGTTTGACTTTTTGACTGTAAATTAAAATTACACTAATACCCACATCTACCTAAAACCATCAAAATCAATTATCGTTTGCTTCTGAATATGGAATTGTCCATATGTAAATTATCAAACTTTAATGTCAAGAAAGTGACTAAAATCGACTTTTGGTTTTAACCATTCAGGTTGTTAAAAAATGGGATTAAAGCGACCTTATGATGCTGAAGAGATGCAAGAGTGCAATGCTAAGCATGCAAGACAGCTTAGTTATAACAACCATAACCAATTTGACGAAGCTATTCCATATCATCATGTTTCTATGGACAAGAAGACAAGTGTTTTAGGTACAATGAAACCTTTAAAATTCATATACTCTGTTATGGTAAGTTTTTGAGGGATTAACTTTGGACGTCTCTTGTTGCAGTGGAGGATTTGAGTGGTCTCTGTGAGATACCTACGTGGACTAATGATGCAAATCATGTTGAGAAGGGTTTTGAAACGTGGATTTCAACAACTGATTTGTGTCAGGAAGATTCTCAGTCTGGAGGGACGACTCAGTCAGATCTTTCTCATCAATCTTCTGGTTCAGATTTCACCTGGAGACCACTTTCTCCAGTGGAAGATGTTTATTCTTGTCTGATGAATCAACCTCCTAGGAAACAAGTTCTTGTTGGGTCTAATCACCAGGCAGATATTCCTGAGTTTGTCAAGGAAGAGGTTCTTGGCGGTGACTTAGAAGGGAAGCTGATGGGAAAGTGCATAATACCAATGTGTGACTCTGACCTTTGTGGAACCGGTCAAGGAAGAAAGGAATGTCTTTGCCCGGATAAAGGCTCCATTAGATGCGTGCGACGACATATCATGGAAGCCAGAGAGGGCCTGATTGAAAATATTGGATATGAAAGGTTTATGGAGCTAGGGTTCTGTGAGATGGGGGAGGAAGTTGCGAGCTTATGGACTGAAGACGAAGAAGATCTCTTTCACAAGGTTGTATACTCCAATCCTTTTTCAGTGGGTCGCGACTTCTGGAAGCAATTAAAGGCAATGTTTCCTTCAAGAACCATGAAGGAATTTGTTAGCTACTACTTCAATGTCTTCATCTTGCGGAGACGGGGTACTCAGAATCGGTTCAAAGCCCTAGACGTCGATAGTGATGATGACGAGTGGCAAGTAGAGTACAACATCTTTTACAGCACCAAATCTTTAGATGAGGAAGACAACAATGGAAATCGCTCTTCACATGAAGATAACGAGGAAGAAGAAGAAGAAGAAGAAGAAACCAGCAGCAGTGATGATGATGATGATGATGAAGGAGAAGAAAAAGACGACTCACCAAGTAATGATGCTCATTGTGTATATATGGATAAGGCTTCAAAAGACACTGTTGGTGAGGAGGTAAATGTGGAAGACGACTCATGTATGTCCTTCGAGTTACAAGACTCCAACTTGATCTTCACTCACAGCCCAATTCAAAACAGAGAGTGCCACAGATCTGGTGATGATTCGTATTCATTTGATGATCAGAGATTCACATCAGATTGTTGGAACAAGAACAACGATCTTCTACCAACTTCAAACATCATTGAGGAGATATTTGGTCAAGATGAATGGGAAGATAATGATGATGATAACTTGAAGGGGAAGTAAATGAAAAGCTTTCTTCTCTTCTTCCATGGATTTCTGCAGATTTTTTTTTTCTTAAGTGAATTATTTAAAGAAGCAGAAGTTTGAAAGTTTCCTCTTTGGGAATTTTTTTGTTGGTTTAGGTTGAAGAAGAACGGACTTCTTGATTGATTTGACTATGTAAAAAAGCTATTAAAATCCAGGAACCTTTTTTCTAGTTTTTTTTTTGAGTCTTCAAGATCTCAATGTACATTATTTTGGTGTAAAAAGAAAAGAAGAATAAAATGCTAAAAGTTATCCAAATTTTTGTATCCAACTTATTTGCATCGGTTAATTCCTAGCTGCCTCGTTAAAACCTTGACATTTTTATAACCTATCAGAATTTTTGGTTATGAACACAAAAGATGAAAAACGGGAAAAATGTCGTTTTATCTCCCAACTTTCAAAAAGTGGCCAATCAATACGTCAACTTCATATGTGGCCATTTAAAACATGAAATAAACGTTGACTAACGTTTGAGACATGGAAATTCGTTGACCAGGCCAAAATAGACATGCCGTTATCAGTCGTTAACGGAACCTCTAACGTCCGTTATCACCCGTAACGACTCTGTTAATCAACTTTCAAATTGTGGCCATTTTAAACATCAACTTTATATGTGGTCATTTAAAACATGAACTAATCGTTGACTAACATTTGAAACATGAGAATTCGTTGACCAGGCCAAAATAGACATGTCGTCATCATTCGTTAAAAAAACCTATAACATCCGTTATCACCCGTTAACGACTCTGTTAGTATATCCAAAACGACGTCGTTTTGAAAATAATCGAGAGAAAATCAGGACAAATGTTTTGTTTAAAGCATAATCCAAGGACATGGTTTGATATATAGACAATCGTAGAGCCAATAATTGGAAGCAAACATCATTTATATATTTATTTTAAATCTAAAAAGGAATCATGGAAGCAAACTTGTAGACCCATCATAGGACTAAAATAGGCATGGGCGTTCGAATATTCGGGTCGGGTTCGGGTTGGGTTTTTCGGGTTTGGGTTTTTCGGGTTTAGAAAACTAAGATCCATTCGGGTATTTTAAAACTTCGGGTTCGGGTCGGGTTCGGATCGGGTATTTCGGGTTCGGATTCAGGTTTACCCAAAGTATCCAAATATTAGAAATTTTGTATCCGATTCTATGCAAAGTATTGAAAAATAATCAAAAAATCTATAAAACCCAAGTATTTTAACCCGAATCTAACCCAAAGTAGCTAAAACACCCGAAAATATCTTAACATCCGAATAATTTTGGCACTTAGGTTATTACAAGTATAAATATTACTAATATATTATAACTATGTACTTATATTTTGGGTATGTTCGGGTACTTGTTCGGGTTCGAGTTCGGGTCGGGTTCGGGCCTAGACTAAATGTAGCTTTTCTGAAATGGAGATAGAGATAATAGGACTATTCATCTTGTTTGAGCTGTTGTAGAAATAGATTTGGGGATTTGGTGTTTTCATTTGGAAAAAATCTTTTTGGACATACTAACAGTGTCGTTAACGGGTGATAACGGATGTTATAGGTTCTGTTAACGAATGATGACGACATGTCTACTTTGGCCTGGTCAACGAATTCTAATGTTTCAAATGTTAGTCAACGATTAGTTCATGTTTTGAATGGCCACATATGAAGTTGATGTTTAAAATGGCCACAATTTGAAAGTTGATTAACAGAGTCGTTACGGGTAATAATGGGCGTTAGAAGTTCCGTTAACGACTGATAACGGCATGTCTATTTTGGCCTGGTCAACGAATTTCCATGTCTCAAACGTTAGTCAATGTTTATTTCATGTTTTAAATGGCCACATATGAAGTTGACGTATTGATTGGCCACTTTTTGAAAGTTGGGAGATAAAACGACATTTTTCCCGATGAAAAACTATATATTTTTTATATTCTATAATTTTAACCAAAAATGTGATTCGATTTAAAATTATGTAAATGGATTTTTGTCAAATGAACTTATATAGTTTATACATTTAATTACATAGTTTAATTCGAACGGTACGGTACACTTCGCTGCTAATTGACACTCTTGACTTTTCTATCAATTAAGTCTCAGCTTTTTAGGTTTAGATTTTTTTGTTTGTTTGCTCTGTCACAGAGGCCTACTCTCTACCTTTCGTTTGATAGTCAGAGACTCACATCAGATTGTTGGATCAAGAACAACGATCTTCGACCAACTTCCAAATGATGATGGTAACTTGAAGGGGAAGTAATTGAAAAGTTTTCATGGATTCTGAATTTTTTTTTTTCAATGTACACTATTTAGGTGTAAAATAAAGGCTAAGTTTTCAAATTTGTGTATTAAACTTTTTCATTATATCAGAATTTTTGGTATTGAAAATTGTTAATTTTCATTCTATAAACCGCTGCTGAAAAAGAAAAAAAAAAAAGGAAAAAAGTTAAATTTAAAACCTCACAGGAACACAAATAAGGCTATCTCGTCAATGTCATTCCTGGAAAAGAATATGAGGAAGAAGATGAAGCTGTCGCCGACGTTGCAATCGACCTCAAATCCGTCACTTCCCGATGATGTGCTATTCAGCATCTTTGCACGCGTCTCAAGATTGTACTATCCGATTCTATGTCTCGTCTCCAAGAGCTTTAGAACTCTCCTATCTTCACCGGAGCTATACAAGGTTCGGTCACTCTTAGGCAACACCGAGATTTGTCTTTATGTGTGTTCACGGTTCCAAGATCCTCATCATCATACGAACACTAGCTGGTTCACCCTCTGTCGGAAACCTGATCAAACCCTAACCAATGGCACCACTAAGAAGTCAAGTGGGTATGTTTTGGCTAGAGTCCCAAATTTACATTCTCCTCCTTTGCACTCTTCGAGTCTTGTGGCGGTTGGTTCTAATATTTATAACATTGCAGGATCCTGCTACCTAGAGTCTTCCTCAAGCGTCTCGGTTCTGGATTGTCGGTCTCACACGTGGCGCGAGGCTCCAAGCTTGCGGGAGGGGCTATGTTCGGTTTCTGCTAGTGTCATTGATCGAAAGATATACGTAGCAGGACGTTCCATAGATGGTGATAATAACTCGAAGAATTCGGTCGAGGTGTTCGACACTGAAACCCAAATTTGGGATCCGGAGGCCATTACTTGCAGCGAGACACAAGGCGATTTTTACGAATGCAAAACCACATGTATTGACAGAAAGTTTCATGTGGTGACTCTCGGTCAAAAAGAGGCGGTTGTTTACAATTCCAAGAAAGGTAGATGGGACAGGGTTAGACGAAAAATAGATCAGTATAAGTTTTCAGCTTATTGCGAGATAGAGAATGTTTTGTACTCTGGTACTCATGGAGTGTTCAGATGGTATGACACTAAGGCAAGTAGGTGGAGAGATTTGAAAGGTTTGGCAGGACTACCTGAGTTCGGTTCTGGTGCGAATATTAAATTGGCTGGTTATGGTGGAAAGATAGCGGTTTTGTGGGAGGAGGATTTGCCTTCTTGTGGACCTGATAGCGGCTATAAGAAGATGATCCGGTGTGCAGAGATAGCTCTTGAAAGGCGCAAATGTCATGAAATTTGGGGGATTATTGAGTGGTTTGGTGATGTGCTTACCGTCCCTGTAGGATATGTTGTTTTGGAGAAGGTTCTTGCTGTTACTCTTTGATGAATGCGTCACAAGCCTTGAATGTGTTTTCTTTTGGTAGTATCATTTTTATTTGGAATGCTTATGTTCTTTTGGTGTGTATGCAACTATTGATGAATAAGTCTGTCTATTGTTTCACTTCTAATCATTTGATGTCACTCAAAATGTCTTTGAAGCAAATAAAAGAAAATTTCTATTTGAAAGAAATACGAACACTAACATACTGAGAGCAAGATCACAAATTAACACTATACAAATCTTTTCGATGGTCCCTGGTAAGATAAGAATGCTATACAAATCTGTGTGGGAAACAAAACAAACAAAAACAAATCAGTTGAATCATGTCTCCTCGTTTTTCACTTGGATCCAACTACCATTAGATGATCCAACTCCTGATTCTTTCTTTTTACGACTAAAAAAACCGACAAAATACCCCAAAATCACTCCCACAACCATCACACTTGCTCCTTCAATGTACCACAAGACTGCAAAGTCAGATTCAGATCCAAAGTTTGAGTCTTTACCATCATCACTACCGCTAATAACTTCCCCTGAAGCCAAAATCTCAACAACATCATGAACTTCTCCGTCGTGGTTTCCCACATACGAAAGAGTGAGTCTTTCTTTATTAGCAACCAAACGAGTGTACCCAAACTCGCCTCCGCGGTACATTGAGTTAGCAGGCTGAGGAAAGATCGGGACATCCTGGTGATTAGGTCTCGGTTCCCAAATAGGCTGTGTGTCTTTTCCAGCCATACCAATCACAAGATGAACAGGGTTTCCTTGCCAACGTTCACCACAAGTATTGTTACTAATCGGGCAAAACCTTTCGTATCTATGTACATGTCCCCATAAAGCAACAGTCACATTGTTCTTCACAAACAACGGTTCCAAATGCTCGATCATCCTCTGTCTTATCGCAGCGTCTCTTATCTTCCTACTTGTAGTGTACATCGGTCTATGCCCTTGTACAACAACAAACGGTGTCTTGCTCCTATTAACAGACTCTAAATCACTCTTCAAAAAACTATACTGCTTCCCTCCTTTAAGAAAATCCGTCTCTGTGGAAATATAAACGAAATGAACTGAACCCATATCATAAGAATAGTAAAGGTTCCGACTTTGAGGTCCCTTAACCATACCCGTAGCTTCCGATGAATTACCAGGCATATTAAACTTAACACTATACGGTACACCACATTCACCACCACTATCTTTACCATAAACATAAGCAGCCCAATCTGGTTTCCAAGGCTGCATAGGCCAATCATACTCATGGTTACCAATACAAACATGGTAAGGCACTCTAGAAGCAATAGGCTCAATCTGAGCAAAGAACTCATCCCAGATCCACGAGTAACCTCGCGCATAACTTATATCTCCGATATGCGATACAATCGCAGGCTTATCATTACCTAAAGCTTCAATGTCTCTTAAAATCCATTTCACAGTTGATAAACTTTCTTCTTCTCCACGGATAAATGTTCTATAAGGTGTAGAACATCCCATATCTCCAAACATGAAAGCTAAAGTTTCTTCTGAATGCTCATTTCTTGAAACAAAGCTATGAATCTCGCTCCATCCTTTTAAATCACTCCCAACCTGATTAATGACAAAACCCTAAAGTCAACATTTTGATTCTGAAAAACCCTAAAGATTCAAACTTTTAAGGGTTTTTGATTCTTACCTGATAATAATACTTAAGCCCTTGTTTCAGATTCTTCATCACGGAATCAAATATCCAACCTGGATCTCTCCATCCGATTGTAGAATTCGCCGGCGCGTGACACATATGTTCTCTCTCGTACCTAACCCCACGCGCCACCGCTATGTTATCGAGCTTGTCCTTAACCTCGCCGTATCGAGCTTCTCGTTCTTCTCCATCTCCGGTTACGAACATCACTCTCATCTCGTTGATATTATCTGTGTAACTTAAATGAATCTGCTCCGGTCGGTTAACGGCGAACCGGAAATTTAACTGGTTTGATTCGGTTAAGAGATGACGAGTTCCGGGTAAAGGATTGTGATCATGGTCTTTGTGTTTCGGGTTGATTTCGGATTGGGTCCAATGGAAGATCCGGAAAGTGTAATTTGATCGGAGATTGGTTAAGGGAAGTGAAATTGAACCCGACCCGGATTTCCAATTGGGTGAATCGGAGAGGAATTTGTAGCCGATGAAGTGATCGTGAGGAGAGTCCGGTGGTGAGTAGATTCCTAACCAATCGAGATCGGACTGTGACTCGACGCCGGACCATTTGATCACGACTATGTCCCCGGATCGGTTTAAGGTTTGTGGAGAGATTGAAATTGTGACTTTGGAATAAACAGAGGTGATTAAGAGGAAGAAGAAGACCAGAGAGTAAACGGCGATCATGATTTACGGTGGTTGACGCGGCGGGTGATGGTGGTTAGTCAAAAGTCAACGTTTGTTTTATCAGTTGGGTTTGTATTTGGGTTTTACTGATAAATTTAGAAGAGTTTTTGAGTGATTATGAAGTCATTATTTTGTTTGAAATTGAAACCAAACCTGATTTATGACATTTCACCATCAAAAAAATATGCTATTTAGAAATAAAATAAAAAAGGTTTCAAAAAAAAAAAAAAAAAAAAAAGAAATAAAATAAAAACAAAACATTATGGAATTAATTATTTTTCCAAATTTACAAGTTTGATTTTATCAACCAGTTTCATTGTCAAATCACACATGATTTATTCCTTTATTTTTTTCTAGGGATTAATTTGTTAAGGTATATATGTAGGATATGCTTAATGCTTTGTCTTTGTATATATAAATGTGTAATCAAAAGCACAAAATCTTTCTTTTATTTTTTTTTTGAACAAAAGCACAAAATCTTTCTATGCCCTTAAAAACCAGAAACACAATAAATCTCACAAATTAGAGTATGAATAATAATTTTGGTAAGGTAAAATAAAGGAACAGGGGAGATTCAAAGGGGTGACCTGAGAACACAAACTCAATGGTTTCAATGAAAATGTAAAGAAACCATAGGATCTGTGTTCTCATGACACTCCTTTGAGATTTCACCTCCTGTTGTTCTTCTCTTTTTCTTCATACTTTACTTCCACTGATTAAGTTATAATACTACATAAGTTTCTCTATGTATAAATATTTTATACAGTTTCTTCTTCTTGGTCTTAGATTTTGTTCACTTCTGTTCTGTCATAATAATGTGGTCATCTTGTTGACAAAAAATTAGTAAGTGTGGTGAAAATGAGCACATCCTTTTCTTTACCCACGACATCGTTTCTATGGAATGATTCAAACAGTGGGCTGAAAACATATCTATCAATGGGTTAGTAATGAGCCCATCTGAGCTCTCTTCTATTAGGCCCATTTAAAACTCATTTGAATAGTTTAATTATTTTTTTTCATTTGAATAGTTTAATTACTCTGCCGACAAAATCATAAATTGTCAAGCGTTTGGATAGACTAAGGGATGTGGCATGAGGACCCATTTTTCCGTGCCACACATCAATGCGTCAACCAATCCATAATTTGTGTAGTAAATACACCAGAATATTACCGCTCTAGAGTCAATATTTATGATCAAGAATCGAAGATTATACTAGTAGCATTTATGTAGGAAAATATACAAAGTTAGAAGTACTAATCCACCAATAAAAGTAAATGTATGATCAAGATTCAAGAATCAAGATAATAATTTATCAAGACCGGTTCTGATGGTCGAGCTTTGCGAAATGGTCAAAATGTAATCAACCATTAAAACAAAATGTAAAATTCACCAACAAAAGTCGAAAAGTAGATCTATGGCGTAAGAATCGTGACTATAATAAATATCCAATTAACGAGTGGATAAAGAAAAAGGAGACCAAAACTAGTGGCCAAATAAAATTTCCCGAAATTCAATAAATATCATCCCCCGGATAAGTTGTTTGTGTTATTGTACGTTTTCCAAATTCAAGACAAGAAAAAACTTTTTTCTTTGAGACAAAAAAAACATGGATTTCTTCACCGATCAAGTAAAGAAGAAATTCTCGGACAAGAAACCGGAGAACTCTGATCCGGAGCCAAACCACAACAAAAACAAACCCGGTCACACCGATCCAACAACACATAAACCAGTTTCCAACACTGATCAATCAACACATAGGCCAGCTTCGAACGCCGAGCTCATGGCTAGTGCCAAGATCGTAGCCGAAGCAGCTCAAGCCGCTGCTCGTAACGAGTCAGACAAGCTTGACAAAGCTAAAGTCGCCGGAGCCACCGCTGATATCTTAGACGCCGCTTCTAGATACGGTAAGCTCGATGAAAAGAGCGGTGTTGGTCAGTACCTTGAAAAGGCTGAACAATATCTCCACAAGTACGAAACTTCCCACTCTCACTCCTCCACCGGTGGAAGCCACGGTAGCCAAGGCGGTGTTGGCAGCGGTGGAAGCCATGGTGGTGTCAGCGGTGGAGCACCGGCGGCTAAGAAAGAAGATGAGAAGAAGTCCGGAGGTGGCCATGGGTTTGGAGATTATGCTAAGATGGCTCAAGGTTTTATGAAGTGATTAATGTTCTAATTATTAAAAAATAATTATGTTAGTAATTTATCTTCTAGAATTTAAGCTGTTGTTTTCTGAATTATTAACTGTTGGATTTGTCATTTGTGTATGATGGAGGAACATTATGATGTTAAACATCATGTATCATGTTGACTACCTCTATAAGTGGTTCTTTAGTTCTTACAAAAGTTAAAAGCAACTCTTTTGTCTAATCAGAACCCTAATTGGAAGTTATCAATTCTGATTAATCAAATTAAAATAGACTTTTAAATAAAAAATACTTATTTTTTAAAAAAGAAATATCCTAAAATAGCATTAAAACAAATTTTGTGTATAATAATATTATATATTTCACAAATTTTTAAAATTAGCATTAGTAAGTTTACATAACAATTATTATTTTATCTTCATCTAATTATGTAAAATAATAAAATTAATTACAATTTTAAATTACGATCATTTAAACCAGTAATAAATGTTTATATTAGTTTTTTAATTTTAAATTTGTACTATTTTAAAAACGAAATTGTATGCTAAATTTAATAAAACTTTTTTTTTTTTTCATCATCTCTAAATTTAATATTTAATAAAACTTATTTTTGTGATATTTGTGAGAATCAATTAAATGTTTTATTCGGACAAGAAACAGTATGTCGGAAAAAAAAAAACAAGAAATAGTATGTTGAAAAGGCCCATAAACGAGCCCACTATGCGAGTCCATTATTTTTTCTTTATTTAATCACACTTAGGTGTCGTCGTTATCTTTTATACACTTTTAACCAATTTATTCCGAATTCAGAATTCTTCTAACTTGGGAAAAAAGTTTGAACGACAATGGAAATCGATGCTCCAAAGCAACAAGAGTCGAAGCAGATCAGAGACGAAGAGCTATTCAAAGCAGCGGAATGGGGTGATTCATCGTTGTTCATGTCATTATCTCAAGAACAGCTCTCTAAATCTCTCAATTTCACAAACGAAGATGGTCGCTCTCTCCTCCATGTCGCTGCTTCTTTCGGTCATTCTCAAGTATGTTCCTTTCTACTGTTTTAAGTACTAATCTGTAGTTATAGATAGAAGTTTAACCTCTTTAGCTACGATAGTTTTTATATCTGGCTCTGAAAAGCACAAAGAATTTCGTTGTGTTGCAAGCTCTTTAGCGATTTGGGTTCTATTGATAAGAATGGGTTTTGTCTTTGAAGTAATGCTTATGGTTGTGGAATCTGTAGGAAATCAAGTTGTATTATTTTAGTTGCATAATCTGGTTTTATAACTGATGAGAAACCTTAAGGGAAGTTTTTGAGTCTGGCTTTGAAAACCACATGAATCTGTGCTGTTGTTAGTTCCTTATCGATTTTAGTTTTTGAGAAGTGGGTTTTAAGTTAAGTTGATGTCAACTTAAGTGGTTATGGATGTGGGATTTGCAGATAGTTAAGTTGCTATCAAGTTCAGATGACGCAAAGACTATAATCAATAGCAAGGATGATGAAGGTTGGGCTCCTTTGCATTCTGCTGCTAGCAGCGGTAATGCTGAGCTCGTTGAAGTGCTTTTGACCAGAGGTATGTTACATAATCTTTGTGTGTTTTATTGTTGTTGAAAGTGGTAAAATCTTGATTTGCTATCATAAAGGTATCATCTTTCGCAGTCCTGAGTAGTTGATCTCTGAATATGTAATAGTCCTCCATGGGAATTGGGAAAATAAGCTCCTATTGTGAAGTGAATTTTGTGTGTGTTAGTTCTTGCAGTGATTAGCTCTTGTTTCAATTTATTACATGATTGAGAAGATGTGTACATTTGATGACGTTTAACTTGTGTTTAGGTGCTGATGTCAATGCCAAAAACAACGGTGGTCGCACTGCTCTTCACTATGCTGCTAGCAAAGGCTGGTTGGAGATTGCTCAGCTTTTATTAACACACGGAGCAAAGATCAACATCACAGACAAGGTTTTGTAGCTTGTTAATGTTTTTTTTTTATGCTTGTGGATCATTAACTTGTTGTCAACACATAAACAAACTTTTTGTGACTTTCAGGTTGGTTGTACTCCGCTTCACAGAGCAGCAAGCGTGGGAAAGTTAGAAGTTTGTGAATTTCTTATTGAAGAAGGTGCAGAGATCGACGCTACGGATAAAATGGGTCAAACTGCACTTATGCATTCGGTCATATGCGATGACAAACAGGTAATTTTCGATCTAATCGACCTTAATCAGCATTTTTGTAAAGTTCACAGTTTCCTAAATTTTGGGCTTCTCTTCTATATTTCCATGCATCAGGTTGCGTTACTGCTTATAAGACATGGTGCAGATGTGGATGTAGAAGACAAAGAAGGTTACACTGTTCTAGGCCGAGCTACCAGCGAATTCCGACCTGCACTTATCGATGCTGCAAAGGCCATGCTTGAAGGATAAAATGACTCTGAATCGCTTTAAAACTCACTAACATGAGAGTCTTGTTTTGTTTAAACTCTTTGTTCTTTCAATATCAGGATATAATAAAAGGATTGTTCTCTATTTGTTCATGTTCTTCTTTTGAAATCTTCTCAAAAAAATTCTTCAAATAAGCTTAAATTTAATGCTCTTTTCCTCAACTTAGTAAGCATTGGACACTTGAGAACAAGTGAGACAAAATGTTTTTCTTTTTAAAGAATTAAAAAGTATATATATATATATCCCTTCTTATCTCTTAAGAAGTCACTTACCCTCCTCACAAAAAATCTAAAGGCAAAATGATGCAAACCAAAATCTCTTCTTTCTCTCGACCAAGCTTCACTCTCCATGAACCGAGAGTAGTTCATAATCCTCGAATCTCCATGGCTATATGCTCATTATCATCATCATCATCATCACCATCACCGTTTCACCATCTTCTCTGCAAGTCCACCTTCCCTCTCGCTGCCTCACTCACCCTTCTCTTCTCTCCTTGTACCGGTAACATCACTATTACTCAATTTTCTTATCATTCAATGTATATGCATATCATCATCATAATCATCATCGAATGTCTATGTATGGATCCTCCTCAGCTGAAGCAGGACTAATGTCGGGATCTCCCGGTATAGAATCAGTTCCTGGTCCCGAATTACCAAAAATCGAATTCCTCGACCGTTTCAATGGTACCAATCTTTCAAATTCTTGAATTCTATAACAAGAAGTGTATTGTCTCCTTTAAAGAAGAAAGATTCTTAATTGCAGCAAGGAACCAGAAGTACTACGCAGAGAACGATGCCAGATTCAAAGAATCTCCACTTCTCAAGAAACTACTTGAGAATTCCAAACTCAACAAAGAAAAGTAAGTTACTTTACACACACCCATTTGGTCTTTTTAGTGTTATAGAGCCAAAGTTGTGTGGAAGCTGCAAATCTTGAAACTCTGTTTTCAAAATCTTGAAACATGGACATGTGTTAAATTGGTTTTGTGTTCTGTTTTGTTTAGGAATGAAAGAGAGATTCAAGACAAATATTGTCTAAGAGGAGCAGAATGGGGAGTTGGAGATTGTTCAACTACAGGAATGACAGATGAAGAGAAGGAGAAATTCATCACAATGTTGAAAAAGAAGACTGGTGTTGAATAAAAACTTGGAATCACATAATTGTATTTTTGCAAGAATGGCTTTAGAGAGAATCTATGCTAATTGTTAAAGTTATCAATGCCAAATCCAAATGGTTACAAAACAAAACACGACGAAACAACAAAAATACGTGTACAAACGGTTTTTATTATCGATCTGCGGTTTTGATATCGAGAAGAGAAAGTGTAGCAATCTCATTCATAACCAATGATTTGTCAGTTTCAAAACCTACATCTTCTTTTTCAGCTTTCAAATCAGCAAACAAACGAAGAATCTTGTTCCGATTCGCCACGAGAATCGCCACAATGTCCTCTGGTTTGTTCTCGTTCGCCACAAAGAGCTTGAAGATATGAAAAGCTTCTAACTGAATGTTCTTGGTTGGTTCTCTTAAAAGATTCATCATGATTCTCAAATTATCCAAACTGCTCACATACTTAACCATCACACCTGAATTCGAACGATCCATCAACACATCTCCAAGCAATTTCGACGCTTGTCTCTTCGTAAAGTAGCTTCCTTTCTCCAACAACTTCGTGTTATACTCTGCGAAAAACCACTCGTAGTTCTTGGTAAGATACTCAGCTACAGTCGATTTATGCCTCGTCAAAAGCTCCCTAAAGATCTTGCTAGCATCGGTAGCTACATCAAAATACGGAAGCTGAACATAATCGAAAAACTTGTCCAAATTCTTCGATTCGAGTATGTACTTGGCAACAACCTGATGCCGCACACATTCTTTAAGCATTCCTGTATAATGCAACGCCAACTCGTGATCATGATCGATACCTTCGACTAACGAATCAATAACATCTAAATTCGATTCAAGATATTCAGAAGCAACGAGTCGAGATTCGACTTGTTGTTTCTGCAAATTCGCAACAATCTGCGTCGCGTCTTTTCTTGCTTCTAGATCAAGTTTTGGAATAGATTTGATCAAAGGACGAAGCGTATCTTCTCGGAAAAACTCTTGAGTTAACATAAGACAAGCTTCAGGAACAGGCTCAGCTTCACTATTACCATAAAGAATCGATTTCAAATCACTAATGTTTCGACACAATTCCGCACAAATCCCTAACCTTTTCGAGTTTCTCGAATCGATTTCTTCTTCGGATTCGGCTAAAGCAATGAGATCTCGAGTCTGACGAACGATTTCACCAGGAAGACGTGATTTGTTCTTGAAGAGACCTTTCATTCTCGTGCTTCCGCCATGGTTTCCGAGGTTTCCGCTTAAACTGCTAAGCTTCCCGCTAAATGTAATGTTGATGGAATCATCATCGGTGGATCCGACGCGTAGATGGCTCCGTGTACGGTGGTGCTTTGACGACGGAGCTAAATCGGAGCCTCCGTGTCGTTTAGCACCACCGATTCTGGAGACACACGCACCTATGTTTCTCCTTTTTGTTAACCTCAAAACAAAATCAGAATCAGACAAAAACTAAAAATCTATGTCTCTCTTTGTCTTTTTTTCTAGGGTTTGTTCAAAAGCTTTTTCAGGGGTTTCGTTGTGAAATCCAAAATGTTGTTTCTCTCAAATCTTCTTCTTTGAAGAAAAGAAGAAGCAAGAGACAACAAACCTAAAAATGGGGTCTTTGATTGGCTAATTTTGCCGCGCTGAATTTTCGTTGTGGTTAGTTTGAAGAATCTTTGATGTCTAAAACATAATTAGATTTTGAAGCTTATTATTATTATTATTCTGCACTAGGGGAAAATCCGGGCGGGTAGACATTTGATAAACCACTTTTGGAAAGAGCAAGAACCCTCTTTGTTTAGACAATTTTGTGGTTCATTGTTTAAAACTCCTTCTCTTTCTTGCCATTAACATGTCCTGTGAAATTAGTTTTCTCCAAAGACTATAGGAAAGCGTAGACAATGAGATTATGTATTTTCTTCAAATAAGCTTTGGGCATCAATGGATTAGGGACTACCATTCAAACATATTCAAACATATGCAGTAAAACTGAAAATATATTGTTGTAAAGAAAAACTTAAATCAGAATGACAAGCTTTCATCAATCAAATTGACTGTAACCTAAAAATATATAGTCAATGCCATTACAACAAACGTTAGCAACAACCTGGTGGTGGTTCGTATTAGAATGAAATTGTCTTGTCCTTCGTTTTAGAAGCCTGAAAGACATTTTCAAGAATACAACATAACAAATAAGGTAGACGAAATGATGAGTGAAATTTATGACAATTACATGGAGTGATTCATGACTCGAACTCTAACGTCGTGATTCAGAATTAATATTTTGCACAGAAATCCTAATAATAGCAACAAAAATATAATTGGAAAAATTCATAGGGAGTACAGTTGATATCATAACCATCACTTTCCCGCTCTCTTAATTTCATCGCAATAAGTGAATTGCAGACGAAAAAAATTTCAATGATTTGCGATGGCTACGGCCTAAGGGTAGAAGTTCCATAACAAATAGATATGTAGCTATGTAGAGCTTAGAAAGACAAAATACATTTAGTATTACCTGCATCTTGTTTTTTGAGCAGATCATCCATCCTTCTGGACCTCTTTCTTTCATCTCTTCAATACACTACTTCAGGTTGGGTAAACAATTTGAGATTTTAACGGAATCCAAGATATTATGGAAAAGGACTCACTTAAGATTTCACTAAAACAAATCTACTGAATTTTCATGTTGCAAGTGTGATGAAAATCATACCCTTCACCTCAATTAAGCGACGATGATGTCCTCGAGATTAAAACAACCGTAGTAACCTAAAGCAACAAAAAGTTATAGACAAATTATAAACCAGAGAGGATTCTGCTTTGTTCAATATTGAAGGAAATGAGAAGAAGGTGATCGATGACCTCTGTTCATACAGACTGTCGATTCTAAAATCGTGGAAGAAGGTAAAGAGAAACCTTCAATGATGTATGCAGGCGAGATGCGTCGTTTATGAGATCATCTCTAATTTAAGAGTAAGGATTGCTAAGAAGGGGAAACGGCTCGACTTTCTCAGACGTTAAACATCTCCGATTGAAAGCCCTATTTTCGTTGGCTCAAGAATAAAGATTGATTGTTGATGACGTGGCAGGTTGAGCGAAATTGAGAGCTACAAAACTGAATAAGCTGACGTGTCAACTTGAGAGAAAATTGGGAGAAGCTGATGTGGATACATTGAGATGCCTCAATGAGCCCCTTTTATTAGTAAGAGATTCTTTTATTACTTCTTAGCGGTTATTATTATATGTGGAGAAGATATATAACGGATTTGGTCAGATATAATCTAAACACAATTAGTTTATTTAACTCTATTTATTTATATTTTTTAAATAACTATCAACTTTTTCATATTTAAAATTTAGTTTTTACAGTGAAAATTCTAAAATTTGATATGTACTAGCTAACGTTATTTTACATTTTTCAAATTTTTAATGGCATCACTCCAATCCAGTAGCATGTGAAGATATGCATCCAATATTTGATGATGATGTTAACTCGCTCAAGTTAGTATTGTATCTTTTTACAAAAGCTAAGATAAGCCAAATTACAGTACTCACCATTCGACTACCAAATTGTATCAAACTAATATATGAGATGTTGATAAATTTGATAAAATAAATTCTAATATACATCCAATCAATTGTTTCACTTGTACATAAAATTCACATAATAAGCAAACACATAGAAAAAATGTAATTTTGTTCCATACCATTTCATTTATATGTTCTTTAATAGTACGAAATGTTCACAATCCACATCAAATATTCATTTTAACATTTTTGAGTAATTTAAAACTTTTTCAAAATTTAAACTCCGTATATATATATATATATAAATATATATTTTAGAAGTATCATAAGTCTGAATCAATATTTTTGAGGAAATCGAAATCCAATAAAATTTACTAGGAGAAAAAAGTTCTTCAACAAATAAGAAAGAAAGAAAGAAGCATGTGTGGCTGAGAGAATGGATCATTTGGACAAAGAATGTAACCACTTCACTTGTGCACATTATATGTTATTGTTAGTTCATTTATTACATTTAATTATTCACTAGATTCATCTTTAAAACACAATAGATTTTGTTTTGAATGGTTTTGATTAGGATTAGGATTTGTCTAAAATCTAATGTGGAGTTTTAGAGAGACACCTTGATTTTGATTTAAAATTTAATTAAAAAATTTAAGCACCTATAAGAAAGATTGATATGACGACAAATCCGGATCGAATGTGAATCAGATTAAAAATCAGTTAGATTTTGATTAAATATGTGAACTATCAAAATATATAAAAACCGTCAAAAAGATTAAAATTTCCCAAACTGGATGACCAAAATTGTCATTCGGATCAAATCTGCCAAATAGGCATGTCCTATAACGGGTTAAATATTCACGTCGGCTAGGATGAGATCCGCGATACACCATATGATTATATACTTTTGTACAAATTATTTTTTTATATTTTCATTTCAAATTTTAATCTTTGTTGAAAATGTAATGGGGTTAGTATAATGTGTAAGTTCATTGCGTATTATATAATTTATTGAATAATATATCAATTTTAAGTTTTGTTAAGTTTTTCCCATGCCCATTTCAAACTTCATTGCATATCTGATGATTTACCCTATGTAAACGGTCCACATTTTATGAAAACAGGACGACGATTCTCTAAGAAACCTTCAACAACTGCCGAGTCATCTCTTTGTTCTATAACCTTTTCTAATAAGGACAATTTACCCACACTTGTCCTATTCCAAGCTTTTCTGAATAAATCTTGGGGAGGCAATCTATCAGAAGCTTCAAAGGAATCTAAGCAATCTACATAAGGCTCGAATCTCTTCTTTGCCTTCGGGAATGCAGCAGGTGGCTGCAAATCAGCCACATTCTCTCAGACACACATGCTTCTTTCTTTCTTTCTTATTTGTTGAAGAACTTTTTTCTCCTAGTAAATTTTATTGGATTTCGATTTCCTCAAAAATATTGATTCAGACTTATGATACTTCTAAAATATATATTTATATATATATATATATATATATATATATATATATATACGGAGTTTAAATTTTGAAAAAGTTTTAACTTACTCAAAAATGTTAAAATGAATATTTGATGTTGATTGTGAACATTTCGTACAATTAAAGAACATATAAATGAAATGGTATGGAACAAAATTACATTTTTTCTATGTGTTTGCTTATTATGTGAATTTTATCTACAAGTGAAACAATTGATTGGATGTATATTAGAATTTATTTTATCAAATTTATCAACATCTCATATATTAGTTTGATACAATTTGGTAGTCGAATGGTGGGTACTGTAATTTGGCTTATCTTAGCTTTTGTAAAAAGATACAATACTAACTTGAGCGAGTTAACATCATCATCAAATACTGGATGCATATCTTCACATGCACTACAAGAAATTTGTTCATTGATAGCATAACGTAATAGCACGGATTACTCAACTGCTATTGAAGATTATTTACAAATTTTGTTTTCGTATGATAGCGTTTTATAAACGCTAATAAATAAATTTACTAATATAGCACGGTTTTAACGCTATGATATAATTTCTCTAGCCCGGGAAACTAAAATGACTCATACCGCCAAACACTTAAAGAAAATTTTTTCTTTTTTGCGAACAGACTAATTTTCCCCTCTTTGCTTGAGAAAACCCTAAGACTTAACCACACTCTCTCAAACCGACGAATCGATTCCTGGAGCCACCGATTGAACTCGCCACCGCCGTCGTTGAAGTTAGCCGCCGTCAAAGCCGTACCGGCGACAGAAAACCTGATTTCGGTCCTAGTTCTCCGATTAAACCATCTCTCTTAGTCCCAAATCGAAGGCATGTCTCTCTGAATTTGTAGATTTATTTCATCCCTTTCGTTAACCTAGATAGATTTCTTTTAGCTGTCGTGAAGCTCGGCAACTGTTTTGTTTTTTAAAGTCTGGATTTATGGGTTTCTCTGATTCGATTCTTCAAAGTTTTTATCTTTTGCATGTCCGTGTTCTTTGCTTAATTAGGACTATTTGTTTGTGTGGTTTGATTTTTCCGTAGCTTGATAAATAGGATGCACAATTTTGCTTTCGGAAATCATAGATTTTTAGATAACTTGTATTGACCTATTCTCGAGATTTAGAAGTTTTTGTTGACATTCTATTACAACTGTTTGTATTGACTTGTTCTTAGAATCTTTAGATCTTTTCAGTGCTTGTAATGACATGGTCTCTGAATCTTTAGCTTATTTAGGGAACTTGTCAAACACATTCTTGCATAAACAACACACATGAAACTGATATAATCATTCTATTTATTTTTGTTTTGCAAGTGCTGATGTGTAAATAATGGGAATGTGAAGCTGATATTTGGCTCTTATTACACGACAGGTTTGTATCATCTTGAACATTACTGTGGCTTTTTTTCTTGAACATTATTGTGGGTTATTTTGTCTTGAACATTTGACATTTGAGAAAAAGTCTTTCAGTCATAGTCTGTCTGTTTGCCAATATATATGTTAAGTTTGATTTGTTTAATATATGGTGATATGTGTTTGATATATATAGTTCATTGATCTCTTCTTAGATTGACTTATATCGATTGTTTACATTGTGGTAATATGAGTTTCTGGCTGAATATAAAGTGATTTTGATCTGTCTCAAGAGTCTTTCATTTAATCTGAAATAGTTCTTATGGTACTAAAGGTTTTAAAATACGGTTACAATTTATAATGGTGGACAATGATTGGGTGCATCTTTGCAGGTAAGATTTTTATTTCTATAGGATAGTTTTAGTGGGAAAAATTGGAGATTTTACATCTCCTTTTTATTCTCCTTTTAACTTTTCACTGAAGAGTTGATTTTATAATGATTTTTTTTTTTTAACCCTTTAACTCTTCTCTGAAGAGTTGATCCTGCTTATGAGAGAGGGGCTACAAAGTTTGTACGAGATGTGGCTGCGGCTCTGGGAGGCGTAGATATGATTATATGTCCTTGCATTGATTGTCGCAATATAGATCGTCACTCAGCCTCTGTTGTTGTTGATCATCTTGTAACAAGGGGAATGGATGAGGCATATAAGCTACGGTGTGACTGGTATCATCATGGAGAATCAAACTCTAGGGTTGAAAGTGATACCAAAGTGAGTCAGTGGAATGACGAGGTCTTTGGGTTATATCAAGCTGCTGAATTTTTGGATGAAGAGTTTGCTTCTAAGGTTGACTTGAATAAGATTGCAGAGTGTGATGACAAGAAAGAAGATGAGTTCCTTGCAAAGCTTGCAGATGCTGAAACGCCGTTATATCCAAGCTGTGTAAACCACAGCAAGCTGTCGGCTATTGTATCTCTGTTTAGACTTAAGACAAAAAATGGATGGTCTGACAAGAGCTTCAATGATCTTCTAGAGATATTGCCGGAGATGTTACCAAAGGATAATGTGTTGCACACATCACTGTATGAGGTGAAGAAGTTTTTGAAATCTTTTGATATGGGTTACCAGAAGATCCATGCATGTGTTAATGATTGCTGCCTATTCAGAAATAATTACAAGAAGCTCGACAGTTGTCCTAAATGCAGCGCTTCAAGATGGAAGACTAACTTACACACTGGTGAAATAAAGAAAGGTGTCCCACAGAAAGTATTAAGGTACTTTCCGATAATCCCACGCCTTAAGAGAATGTTTAGGTCTGAGGAAATGGCTAAGGATTTAAGGTGGCATTTTAGCAACAAAAGCAGCGATGGAAAACTCCGTCACCCTGTAGATTCAGTAACATGGGATCAGACGAATGCCAAATACCCGTCATTTGCAGCTGAGGAAAGAAACCTGAGGCTTGGACTTTCAACAGATGGATTTAATCCATTTAACATGAAGAACACTAGATATAGTTGCTGGCCCGTTTTGTTGGTTAACTACAATCTGCCTCCTGATTTATGCATGAAGAAGGAGAACATCATGTTGACTTTGCTAATTCCTGGTCCACAACAGCCTGGTAATAACATTGACGTATACCTAGAACCACTTATAGAGGATCTATGCCACCTATGGGACAATGGGGAGTTGACATATGACGCTTTCAGTAAATCAACATTTACTCTTAAGGCAATGTTGCTTTGGACGATTAGTGATTTCCCTGCTTACGGGAATCTAGCTGGCTGCAAAGTAAAGGGAAAAATGGGATGTCCTCTATGTGGGAAAAATACCGATAGCATGTGGTTGAAGTTCAGCAGAAAACATGTCTACATGTGCCATAGAAAGCGGCTGCCACCAACATATCATTTCAGAATGAAGAAATCTTGGTTTGATGGAAAAGCTGAAAATGGTAGGAAGAGGAGAATATTAAGTGGTCAGGAAATTTACCAAAACCTGAAAAATTTTAAGAATAACTTTGGGACTTTGAAACAATCTGCAAGTAAAAGGAAAAGGACGGTTTGTGTTGAAGCAGGCTCTGATAGTGATGATGAGTCTAGTGAATCAGAGGAGGATGAAGAGGACCAAGTAGATGAGGAGGAATTATCAAGATGGAAGAAAATGTCAATTTTTTTCAAGTTAGCTTATTGGCAGGTGTGTTATACATTCTTGTTATTCTAGTGTTATCTCAGATTTCAGCAATAAATCATTGACTAATATTTTTTTTGCTTCTTGCGTCTGTGGTGGTTGTATAGGACCTTCCTGTGAGACACAACTTAGATGTCATGCATGTGGAGAGAAATGTGGCTGCAAGTATTATATCGACATTGTTGCATTGTGGGAAATCCAAAGATGGACTAAATGCTCGAAAAGATTTGGAGGTGCTTGGTATTAGAAAGGATTTTCATCCTAAAACCAAAGGAAAAAGAACATACCTTCCTGCAGCTTCTTGGTCCCTATCAAAGACAGAGAAGAAGATCTTTTGTAAGCGGCTTTATGACTTCAAAGGTCCAGATGGGTACTGCTCAGACATATCAAGAGGCGTCTCATTAGATGAGTGTAAGGTCTCTGGTCTTAAATCACACGATTATCACGTCTTAATGCAACAACTTCTTCCTATTGCTCTTAGAGGGTTGCTACCTAAAGGTCCTAGGGTAGCAATTGTGCGCTTATGCACATTCTTCAACCACTTGTGTCAGCGAGTAATTGATATGGAGCAGCTTTGGCACTAGAAGCTGAGATTGTTGAAACCCTTTGCCTGTTTGAAAGGTTTTTCCCACCAAGTTTCTTTGATATAATGGTGCATTTGACAGTACATTTAGGCAGAGAAGCTCGGTTAGGTGGACCAGTTCATTTCAGATGGATGTATCCGTTTGAAAGATATATGAAAGTTCTGAAGGATTTTGTGAGAAACACTGCAAGACCAGAAGGATGTATAGCTGAGTGTTATCTAGCTGAAGAATGCATACAGTTTTGTAGTGAATTTTTGAAGAAGGCAACAAATGTTCAGGAAAGTGTTGATAGAAACACTGAGTATGAGAACAACTCTATACTTGAGGGGCGTCCAATCTCTGCATGCTCTTATATTAATCTTATGAAATGGAGACAAAAATAGCCCATATGGTTGTCATCCAGAATATGGCTGTCTCTGAATCTTATGTGGAGTAAGTTCCAGTCTGCTTGTTCATTTTACTTAGCTATATGTAAATTGTGTGGCTGACTACTTTTTATTTTTCCTTTTATTAGTGAGCACCTGCAAAATCTTCAAGACTCAAATGGAAGATGCAGACGTGATGCATCACTGTTATGGAGTATGCACACTCAGAATTTTGCATCATGGCTTAAAAAACAGGCATGTTTATCTCTCACTTGAACACTATACTTTATCAATTAGCATATAGGTGTCTGACATTTTCTTTTTTAATTTGTTAGATACCTCTTGATTCAAACAGACACGAAGAAACACTTAAATGGTTAGCTTATGGTCCACGTAGTTGTGCAAGGACATATACTGGTTATATAGTGAATGGGCAACGATTTCATACAAGATTAGTGGATAAAAAAACTCAGAATAGTGGTGTTTTCTACGAGGCAACTGCAATCTGTAGGTCTAGTGCAAAAGACACTTCCCAAGTGGTGGATTTGGTATCATACTATGGCTTCATAACTGACATTATCTTGCTGGATTATAATGTATTTTACGTTCCATTATTCCGCTGCAACTGGGCAGTAAAAGGCAATGGAGTGAAGCAAGAAGATGTTTTTACACTTGTAAACCTGAATCATAGTCAAGTCTCATTTTTAAGGGATCCGTACATACTAGCCTCTCAAGCAAAACAAGTGTTTTACCTAAGGGAAGATGACTCATCACCTTGGTATGTTGCATTGAGAGGTCCTTCAAGAAGATTCAGTCAGAAATAGTTTCTAGATTCAGTTGCAGACATTGGCACATTGCCACCAAATGTTGACATCGACGTTGACTTGGATGAAGCTGAGAATGAGAGATCTGATTGTGAAGGGATATATGTTTGTGAAATGTAGTTTTTTTGATCATTTTCATTCCTTGTTGCCTGTTCTATGTCTGATGTATGTCTGATTTCCATAGTGTGTTTGATGTCTTATTTTCAGTATATACTTAACTCTTCTTCTTTCATTTTTCTCAGGTGATTTAAAATGGGACAACATAAGAAAAAGCGATGCAGAAGTAACAAAAAAAAGGAAGCAAAGCATGCCAATGAGGAGGTCGAGTATCTTGGTACAGTTGAACCACAAGTCAATGATGAGGATGAACATGTAGCACCAGCTGAAGTTCAAGTAGCAGATCCAGATCAAATGGAAGAGGCTGAAGTTCAAGTAGCAGATCCAGATCAAGTGGAAGAGGCTGAAGTTCAAGTAGCAGATCCAGATCAAGTGGAAGAGGCTGAAGGAGAGCTTGTATTATCTGAGGGTTATGATTGTGCTGAGCCAAAGCGTAAGAGACATCGAGGACCAACTAGGCTGAAGGATATTGCCAAGGATCCAAATACCAGAGTAAGAGTAGAGTTCACTAACATGGGAGAGCCTATTGGTAAAGGCTCAGTTAAACTGGCATCCTATGTAGGCGCATTGGTAAGAGAACACGTTCCAATCACAATTGATCGTTGGACAAAAATAGGTGAAGAAGTCAGGACAATTCTCTGGAAATCTGTCCAGGTAAGATTTGTGTAAAATTTACAAGTTTATTAGATATTGGTGTGAGTACTTAACTGTTTTGTTTTTGAGTGCAGGCAAGGTTTGAACTAGATGAAGAGTACCAAAAGGTTACAGTGCTTAAGCAGATGGGATGCTTGTGGAGGTCCTGGAAATCAAGGCAAGTTACAAACATTAGAGAAGCTAAGACTAACCAAGAGAGGATGAACATGCGACCTAAAAATATTTCTCCATTTGATTGGCGTAAATTTGTGAAGCTCAAAACTAGCAAAGAATTTAAGGTATGCATTTGGAATTTGTAAATTTATCTATTGTGAGTAGGTTCACTTATCTTTCCTTAGAAATTAACATTCATCTGTTAGGTTGTAAGCGATAGCTACAAGGAAAGAAGGCGCAATCAGATTCCACACACTTGTAGTCGCAGGGGAATGGTTAGACTAGCAGAAGATATGGTAATATTGCTACACTTATATTGTTCATTTTGCTCAGCCTTTTTCCAAAGTTCAAACACTTATGTAATCTTATGTTTCTTTTCTTTTTGTTTAGAAAACTGCTAGTGCAGACCCATCTGAAGTGACACGCCTAAAGGTTTGGGTTAAGTCATGTACTAAGAAAGATGGTACACCAGTGAATACAAATGCTGCAGAAAAGATTGTGAGTTATTTTGCTTCTAATGATTTGCATTTTGGCATTTGAATCACACTTGATATTTTAATATGTATCTTATGAGTTTCAGAAAAAGGTAGAGGAGATTGTTAACAGTGATAATCCATCACATGCAACAAATGAAGCCAGGGGCGGACGCAGGAAGGCACAAGGTGTGGCATGTGCCCCACTCTAGTTTTTTAATTTTCTTAAGTAATTAGTGCAAAATTTATTTAAGTGCCTCTAAATTAATTATTAGTTACAAGAGTGCCCCATACTAAATATATGTCTAGATCTGCCCCTGATGCGAACCCCCATTTACTGTATTGAAAACACCATACAAAGATACATGATACACGTACGAATACAAAAGGAGCCTTATATGTATGAGGGTGATGATAGGTGATGGGTTGATTGGTGAAAGGGATTTAGCTAGGCTTTGAGAACGTGATCGTCCATGTCAGCGGCGAGGCTCTTGACGAACTTCATGTAGTTGCTGGGCTCAGGCATGTCATCGTTTTGCTTCTCCCAAATCATAGTGATCTTACAGATGATATCATCAGGGGACTTTTGAATGAACTGAAAGATGACGTCATACACTTTAAGCTGCTCCATCACGTGACCTTCCAGTCCTCTGAACGTTACCGCCATATTCTCATCGTCTATCTCTCTCCTCTCCTTGAACACCTCCGCTTTCCCATCTTCATATATGTGTTCCACTCATAAGTTAGCTAGGACCATATAATATAATATGTATGTTTGGATTTATGTAACACCAGTGCCGGCTCAGATAGGAGGGCGGGCGCGACGGCCAGGGGTCCAATTCCGTGTTCTAATAATTAAGGGGCCCATTTTAAAATTTTTTTTTATAAAAGTGTTAAAAAATTAGAATATAACATAAAAATAAAATTTAGAAGGGCCCATAATTTTTTTTATTTGTTGTTTTTAGTATTAATAATTATTTTTGTTAATATAAATAGCATACAAATTTTTTTTATAGAAAAAAGATATTAAAAAAAAAAATTAAAGGCCCAAATTTTTTTTTTGCCCAAAGGCACATAAAATTGTTGAGCCGGCCCGGTGTAACACTCAACAAACTATCAAGGTAAAGAGATTTTTTCACAAATATTTTTCTGATGAATATATGTTTTAAATGGTTATTCCATAAAACAAATCACGTATGTAATTTTTACCGCATGTGTAGTTCCAAATCTTGATGGCTCCATGAGAGTCCCATTCGCCGTCGTGGATGGTAACACCCTGGATGTGGTGGCCGATGGCGTCGGGGAAGAGGTGGTTCTCACTTCTCCAACGCTTGTAGTGTTTCTCCGCGGATCCTTTCAAAGGAACCTCCGTCACATATGTTCCTGACGTCGCCATCTCTTTCTTTCTTTTGGGTAGTGAGTGAAGTATTTTTTTTTGTTTGTTTGGTTGATGCAAACTTTCATTCTGGTCTCCTTCGTTTATATAGAGAATGCATGTAACGGTTAAAATTTTGAAAACATGTCTTTTACCATTTGACAAATTCTTATTTTACCACGATTCTGTCATCATCTTGCATTATTAGAAATTAAAACGTGCATATTATTGACAAGTAAGTCTAAATTTAATGTGGTTAAAAATGTACGGTTGATTTGAACTGTGTAGTGATTCACGTTTACTAAGTTCTTATCACTAAAGAAAAAAATATTTGGATCGGATGATTATTGATATGATTTATATCTTGAACTCTAAACATACACTATATATTAAATACAATTTCACTGAAACGTCGCCAAAAAAGTATATTACATGCCTAGAGAATCATAATCAAGCCATAGACATATTTTAGTGGGTAGGTAACAATCATTATCGTCTTTCTACAAAAGAGATTATAGATGAACCGATATAAAACCTGACTGAAAACGACCGTTTTAGAAAATTGATATTCTATAAACCATATTTCTTAAACTGTTTTGAAACCTGTGAGAGAATATAATTATTTATTGGATTGATCAATGAGTTATTTGGTTAAAGTAATGTTATTTCTGATCAATCCGAATATCCGATCCGATCCGATTTGAACAAAACATAAACAATCTTCGCCTGCCCGGTGTGATTAACAGTCTTCTCTAACAATCTAAACTTTCGTAATGCAGTTGAGGAGTTCATTGGGGTACGTAACTCTATATATGGGTATATATCTATAATCTATCCGTAAGCAGCCCACATCTTAAAATGGTTAGATTTAAATTAAATGAAACATTGATTGAGGTTTGGTTTTGGGTGTCGGTGATTAATGTGATGTTAAAACGGAGCCGTTTCGTTTATTTTTCAGGATGATGAATTAAAATCTTATACATGGTCGGACCTACATTATGAGGAGGTAAAAATTATAAAATATAATTTTTTTTCAATTGAATAAAATAGTTTTTTGGCATATTGATCCGTTCAAGATTAAGGTTTGCACTTTGATGTCTTCATTTCGTTATGTTAAACTTTAATAAGAAATTTGTTTGGGTCCTCCATGCACTAATATTCTCAAAACATGGAGAATGCGTCCGGTGAAGCAAAACGAACTTCTTGACTTAAGACTTGGTTGGGGAAGTTATACGTAATGATGATGATATGATAACTTTGGATTTATTCGAACGTATTATATATATAAGCGTTTTACATTTGATCAATCTAGAGGTGTGGGTGAATATTTTAGTACTCTTTTTGTAATTTTTGATTGGGTGGTTGAGTTTTTACTAAGGAAGGATTCGAATAATCGATATTGGTGAGACGTAAAGAGTCACTATTTCATTGACTTAATATTCGTTTAACTTGTTTTGTGTTCTTCGATGTCAGTTCTTAATTAGTTTTCTCGAATGCATGTGTTCGTGATTTGGTTTGGATTCGACGTTAAACCAAAACGGAGACAATATAAACTAAATAATTAAAAAAAAATAATAGTCCACGATCAAATAATGGCAAATAATTCAAGATTTGGCGATACCTCGAATCAAATAAGAGACGAAGAATATTGGCCGAACGTTTTCTATGCTTTTGCTGTCCCATCTACACAAAATCAATAAAAATATTCTGAATTTAATATGTTGAACAGAACAATAAATAATGTAGTAAATGAAGTATGAATACTCTATAGTACTATATTTGTTATTTGATATATAGGTGCCTCGCATGTTCTCTTCATGGACTTTTAATCATTTAATTTAACTTTTGGCAAATCAAAATTATAATTTCTGACGGGTTATTATGAGTTATGATCCTATCCTTGAAATCTTATGATATTCCTATTCTAATATTGACCAAAACGTGAGTTAATGAACATCATTGGCGAAACTAATAAATATATTTTAATAGATTTAAATTATTAAAACAAAGTATATTACTCCCTCCGTATTTGAATAAATGTCGTTCTAGCCTTTTTTCTGTGTTTTTAATTAGTTGTCATTTTAACAACTTTTGCATAAAATTTCCTAAATTACCCCCAATTAATTGATCATAATTAATCAGTCTAAATTACCAAAACTACATATACCAAAAATATAATTGTAAATAATCGTTTCTCATAAGGTTAGTTTTGTAATTCTGTGCCCTTTCTTAATTCACCCAAAAACAGTTGAAACGACATTTTTTCAAATACAGAGGGAGTAAATAAGATATAAAAATATGAAAATCTTACGTTTTATGGATAAATTTCTAAGTTCAACTTCATAATATTTTTTAAGTTTTTTTTATTTATTTTACTAGGTAAAAAATCATATAAACCTTGTTTTTAAAATAATAACAAACAAAATCTTACTTAAGTACATGGCCGAATGAACGAATTAAAAAAAAGAGAGAAAATTCTGATGTCAATTGATAATTACTAGTAGACAATTTCATAAAATATTTAAGGTATCACCTAATCCCATTAATTTAGACGTGGGTCCGTTCTTTTTTTTTTTTTTTGTCATCCGAAATTAATTATAGCTCAAAAGAGTCATTTCTGAGGAATGTTGTTTACATATATGATATGAAGCGGTTCTGTACGAATTTTTCGTGCCAGATTATCCGCTTTTACATTAGCATTTCAAGAAATTAAAGAAACGGAAAGAAACAAAAAAAACTATATTTTAGCCCGTCAAAAAAATTAAATTGATAATCTACTCCAATGACATTTTCAACCAAAAAAAAAAAAAAAGAATTGTGAGGACGAAAACTCTTCGTCGTTCGGCGAGTTTCTCCGGTGATCGGCAAAGTCTTTCCGGCATCTAATTGAATTTCACTAAACTAATAAGTAAGTTTCTTGAAGTTTCGATTTACAAAACTTTTGCTGTCTACTCGAAGTTTTCGTCTCGTCTCGTTCTTCGATTTCAATTCTGAATCTCAGACAAGTTTGCTATCTCTGGTTCTTGTTGGGTTTTGTAGGAATATTATCAGATTAGGAAGTGTGAGACTTCGGTCTTGATAAAAGAACATGGTTCAAAGTCAGTCGTTAAGCACATTAACAATCTGTGGAAGTGTAAAAGTTTCAAGCTTGTTGAGGAATCGTTTGAATTCATCGAAAGCTTCAAGCTTGATCGGTGATCGATGTGTGTCGTGTCAGTTTTTGCGTAAATCACCGTCCTTTAGAAGTCATTGGAAGTCAATAAAGCAAAGAAATTTGTTGAGGGTTGAAGCTAGATGGCCATTTCAAGGGGGTGGTGGTGAACAAGGTTTAGACCCGAGCTCTGAGCGGAGCGAGAGTGCCAATGAAGATATATTGATCTTTTTCTTTCAGCTGGATTTGGCTACTCGTGTACAGGTTAAGAGGATATGCGGGTTTTTTTTTCGCTTTCAAGATTATTGATTACGGTTTTAAGGTGTTGCAATATTGAATGATCTGTGGATTGGTATGTTTTGAAATACCAGTATGCAATGAATCTGGAGCAGTACGACATTGCGCAGCAACTAAGAGAAAAGCTAACTGAGGTATGTGAAATGTTATGATATGATCTTTAAGTGCGACAAGTTTTGAACTTTTTGATCATGCAAAGATGTTAGCTTTTGGCTGGACTTATCTTTGTATTCTCGTATACCGAAATCGCAACGCGGTAGTGAATAACAGTCTGTGGTTGGTAGGTGGAAGAGGAGTCGATAAGGCTGCAGGAAGGGAAAAGAGGGTCATCAGCTAAAAGTGAAGCTCAAGACAAGGGTATTAGTATTATAAGGCTACGGTGAGCAGTTTCATTCGGTTATTTGTTTGCTTTGTAAGACATTTTTCTCTATGTGTCTGTAAATATTCAGTATATCATCTTCGTTGTTTATTTGATATGATTGCAGTGCCGATCTCCAGAATGCCATTGACAGTGAGGATTACGGTTTGGCAGCTAAGTTACGAGATGAAATCTCAAAGCTTGAGGCAGAATCATTAGCTGTATCTGCGAAAGCCTTGGCTTTTGAAAATGCAGAGTATGCATTTCGCTTAGGACAGAAGCTTAGACACAAAACTTTTGGTACATCTTCATATGTATTATTAGTGCTTATCTCACTACGGTTTACATTCATATATCGGGGAACTTACGTTGATTTCTTTTCATTTGGCTTAGGTTACCGGGCTGTAGTTTGTGGTATGGATCCAATTTGCTGTGAATCAAGCTCTTGGATGGAAGCTGCAGAGGTTGAAAAGTTACCTCGCGGATCCAATCAGCCATTTTATCAGGTTCTGCTTCTGAAGCAAATGTTCATTAAGACTTGCGTTGAAAGAAAAAGAAGCTAAAAATTAATATTTAAATTGTATTCATATACCTATGAACAATCTACAGAAGAAACATGGATATCTTAATCTCTTGCATGTGTCTAGCAGGTTCTAGTCGATGCTCGGACGCACCCAGATCTAGTAGTGGCATATGGTAAGCTCTGAGTTTTCAAGTCCTTTGGATCTCAAAATCTTGCTATTGCACAACCTTAACCGGTGAACAATCTCACTATTACTTGACAATGGATCTGATATTGCAGTTGCTGAAGACAATCTATTAGCTCCCGAGAAACCCGACAAAGTGAGTAGACTCAATGTGGACAACTGACTCGTCATTGTAATAGTTTGACTCATGTTTGTGTGTGGTTTCTGCAGGAAAGGTTTGATCATCCATACATTTCTTTTCTCTACTATGGAGCCGACACAGCTGGAGATTTCATCCCTGTCAAACAATTGCGTGAGAAGTACAACAGACCTCGGCATGAAGTTCCTTTTGATTCACAAGAAGAAGATTAAGATGAACTTAGCATGTAAGCTAAGAGTTCACAACCGCAGACTCGAGCACAAATCACAACAAAACAAGAACTTTAGCATAGCTCAAAGCATCTGGCTACCATTTCAGAGATGTTCTGTTGGTTATATACCCATGTAGATGTAGTTAGCACTTAGCTAGCACGACTGTTCTTTCTATATACACTATAACAAATCAACTTTATTCAATAATGCTTTGTGTATAAATGC